CCGCCGGCCGCCTGGCCTGCCCCGCCCTGGGCTGCGGCCACGTCTACTCGCACGACGAGGTGCGGTCGCTGCTGCTGCCCAACGTTCTGTCAACAACCCCCGACGAGGGCGAAGGCGGCGGCGGCGAGGAGCTGTTTGCGCGCTACGACCGCCTCTGCCTGCTCAACCACCTGTCCGACATCCCAGGCTTCATGTGGTGCCTGCGCGAGGGGTGCGACAACGGCCAGATTCACGACGTTGCCCCACTCGACGGCGACGGTGACGACGACGACGACGACGACGACGATTATAACGATAGAAGGCCGCGCTGGGTCCACGCGGCGCGCCACAAGGTGGCGTGCGAGTCGTGCAGCTTCGCCATGTGCGCGCGCCACCAGGGCGCCTGGCACGAGGGGCTGACGTGCCGCGAGTGGGACGAGCTGCGCGAGGACGACGAGGGGAACGCGGACCCGGCCGAGGCGGCGTCGCGGCGGTGGATCGCGGCCAACACGAAGCGCTGCCCGGGCCGCGGGTGCGGGGCGCCCGTCGAGAAGGGCGAGGGGTGCTTCCACATGACGTGCCGCCGCTGCTCCTTCGAGTTCTGCTGGGAGTGCCTGGCCGACTGGTCAGACATCAACCGCGCCCGCTCCAGGCCCGCCGTGCAGGGCGGCGGCCACAACCTCGGTTGCTTCTTTCGCGAGGCGGGCGCGCCCATGCCCACGGCCATTAGGGGAACCTCAGCCCGGGAGGCTGCAAGGAGGGCTGTACGATGAAGGAGGGATTACGATTTATGATTGACGATATACAAGCTTCTTCCTGTTATTTATTTTGCCTAACTATATATACAGCGTGAAGTAGAGGCAGTCCTCCTAGACGAGAGGCCAGGGATTGGGGTCAAAACTAACGGCATTGCTCATCTCGTATCGTCCAACACCCAAGCGATTAATATTAATACTCAAGGGGCCACACATCGACATCCAGAAGCGATGGCCCAATATCCAGGCGGGCTCAGGAAAGCCGCAACACAGCCAGCGCCACCTGTGAGCGGCGACTCAAGGCCAGACCTAGACACTAGGAGCCGAATAGCCCGCGCGGGTCATCCAGAATATGGCGTACTCGGGCGTGATCCAGAGAGCCTGTAATGCGCTGAGGACACCCTTGTAAATGACGGCCGCCCAGGGGCCGAACAAGTACTCGCCCTGCCTCTCCTGCATGGGCCTGCCGGCCGTGAGGGTGAAGATGACGAGCGGGAGGGGCCAGAACAGAATGAAGGCCGGCAGGACCAGGACCACCGACCGCACGAGCTGGGTGCCCAGGCACGCGAGCAGGTCCCGGGGGCTCTGCTGGAACAGGCCCTGCCCCTGCTTCTGCGACTGCTCGTCGTCGTCGTCCGGCCGGCTTCGGCGGCGGTCGAGCACGCGCGCCGCGGCGACCGCGCCCCCGTCCACCATGTAGAACCAGCGCTCGAAGCCGTCGACGCGGGCGCCACCGCTCGACTGCGGCCAGGCCAGGGGCTGCACGGCGCCGCTGCGCAGCGCGCGGCGCACGAGGAGCATCTCCATCATCCACGTGATGACGCATGTCATGATGATGGTCACGGCCGCGTCGCCCGCCACCGTGCCCGGCAAGGCCCAGAGAGTAACGTGGAACTTGTTGTCCTTGTCCAATTTTGAGGGTCGCACATACATTACTGTTGTGGGAGGTGTGGGCAAGGATCTTTTGCGTTAGAAACCATAAGCTAGACGGAGGGGGCTACATCACATACCACGCCATAGGTGGGACGAAAAGTCACATGTCAAAACTCACAGTATGCAAAGAGCACGTTGATAGCGCCCGTGATGAGCATGGCACCCAGGCCGTGCGGGCCGAGGATGAAGAGCCACTGGCGGAGCGTGGGTCGCTGGCCGCGCCGGGAGAAGACGAAGAGCCGGCGGAAGAGGCTGGTGTCGGCCTTCTCGTCTGGTGGTGCGAGCGCGGCCGCCTCGACGTCGGTCGGGGCCGGAGCCGACTGGTCCGGATCCATGACTGGCGGCGGTGGTGGTGCTTGGGCAGCATCCTTTTTGCCGTATTGCTTAGGGCGGATCCACTGCATGATGGAGGTGTGTGCTGGAGAGGACGGGATTTGTCGAACACGGATAAGGACTGTATCACGAAATCTATACTGGTGGAACGATGCTTTCTTTGGTCTTGGCCTGTGGTCGAGATTCCAGCCCAGGGCGAGCCGAAAAGTGGATGGCCAGTCTCGAGGATTGTCAACGTGTCAACCTTCTTGGGAGTCCGAGAAGCAAAGACCGCATGGGAAGGCTCAATCAACGAGGAAGGAGCCCTGGACTCAGAGCTGGAAAGAAAGTCAGAGGAAAGGTCGGAAGGTGCGCTCTGCTCTGTACGGCAGCCAAAGACTGGTGGTCGCTGCCCCCATATCCAAATTAGACGCCGAGACGGTGGGCCAGGGGCATCTTCGGGAAGGCCCAATCTCCAGTTCGGGAGATGCCATAACCATAATTGACGGGGCGGGCAAATTACGGCTTTCCAGGTTGGCTTGGGCCTTCTATTCTGTTGGCTTCAATCCAAGGCAGGGATCATGACCGATCTGCCCACTGGTACTCCTATCAAGGCTGGCTGTCGACGCTTGGTGTCTACCTATTATTGAGCCGACCCGGCATCTTGGAATGCACTTGTGCTGGTTTCCCCCGAGCGCTTCTGTGCCTATCGCATTCAACATCTCGTCTCGATTTTCCGCTCTGCAAAGGCAATCTTCATGTCCTGCTTTGTTTAAAAGGTAAAGTAAAAACTAACGAAAAAGATGCAATCCCCAAAGGGACACTTCCAACCATGCCGGCCACCAGAGGCCGACATATACAAGGCCATTTGGGAAAGCGCAATCTTACACAATGTACATGCGACGCCGCCTACCCTCCTTTTCTTGTCCGTCCTTTCCTCCGTTTCGTGTATACCGTTGTCATTTTCTGTGTTGCCTGTGTTTCCGGCCCTGAAACCTGCCTGTCATTAACTGCCAAACCACCCTGCCCATAACCGTATCAAGTTGTCATCCAAAAACTGCCAGCTCAGCTGAGATATACCGACTAGCTTAGTCTGCGTCTAGGGTAACCCTAGTTACCGTTGAGATGCACACCATCCAAGGGGCTTCCGGGACCCGTTGAACGCTTGGTGCGAAGAGTAAGCGGGAACGGGTACTCTTCAGGGTCCTCCTCCTCACTAGGTTCGCAATCATGGTTAGTCTCTCTGCTTGCTCACAGTGCCCATCGGTGGGTGTCGCAAGGGGATTGGAGACGGGGAAAAAGTCAACGGGACAAAATAAAACTTACGGCAGCTTCCATGAAACGTAGTCCTCCGTGTTCAGGCCCTCGCGGCCCTCCTGAAGGCTGGCAAAGTCGCCAGGCGTCATCATGCCGGTTCGGTCGCGCGGGGATCCTGGCACTGAGAACGGCCTCGAAATCTTCTGTTCGGGTCCCGCCATAAAGTCTTCTTCGGGCTCATCCGTGTCGAACGAGCTCGGGTACGCCCGCCGCAGCGCCAGCTGCCGGGCCTTGACGTACTCCAAACCCATACGCTTCCAGTCGAGCAGGTCACTGAGCCGCTCCGTCCTGTTGCGCTGGTTGATGCGCTGGCGACGGCTCTTCTGGCAGAACTCCATCATGCAGGACGTCAGCTGGTTCACCGAGTCGTCCACGCCCTTGGACCGGCGATCTACAATGTAGATGCCGTAGTCGCTCGAGTTCTCAATCAGCTCCTCCATGTAGCAGCCAAAGCCCGACAGGTTGGTCGTGATGCTGGGCACACCCATGACGGTGCACTCGGCCGGCGTGTATCCCCACGGCTCATAGTAGGACGCAAAGACGCCCAGATGCGTGCCGCGCACAAAGTCGTCGTAGTCCAGCGGCAGCACAGGGTTGGCCGAGTTCAGGAACTCCGGGTGGAAGACGACCTTGACACGGTCCGTGGGGTGGTTGAACAGCTGCACACGTCGGACCTGGTTCAGAATGGGGTCGTCGTGGTCGTTCACCATGTTGTGCGTGACAATGGGCGGGAGCCCATGCCTCTTCATGGCAAACAGGCGCCGCCGCAGAAGGACACGGTCCTGGCTGGTAATCAGTTCCTTCTCGTCGGGGAGCGGATCCCCGTCATGCCACTTGAGTGAGCGCTCGAAGATGCGACGACCAATGCCCCGCTCGATAACATCCACCGTGTCTCTCAGCGACTTGATGACGGCCTGTCCCTTCAAGGCCTCAACCGTGAGAGACAAAGTCTGCGCGGGCATGATGATGAAGGCCACAACCGTCGTCTTGCTCCCCGAGGCCTTCAGGCGGTGGTTCAGGCGGGCCAGAGCCTCGATAAACATGTCGCATCCTTTGTTCCGGAACTCGTACCGACCAGCCGTGAAAAAATACAGCGTGTTCTCTGGCTCAAAATCGTAATGCCCGTAGAAGTGGCCGCGGACAAAGTCGTGGATCTTCTCCTTGGACTGCGCGTGCAGGTTCTGGAATTCGTGCATAGCGGAGAACTTGGTCACGTTCAGGCCGTTGGGCAGGACACCGTCAGGCTTGCGCTTCAGCAGGTGCTCGCTCTCGTACGCCGTGATATGGGATACGGTCGTGAACACATCGCACGAGTGCGCCGCGGCGCGCTCGATGCAGTACCTGTGGTAGATGCCCCGCTTGCCCGCCTCGGCGTCGACGTCGAACCACTGCAGGTTGTTGTAGAAGTCGACCGACCCGGCGCAAAGGTAACGTCCAAGAAGGGTGGCGTGTGTGGTGAAAATGGTGGTCACATCGATCTTGCGCTTCTTGCACAGGGGAAGAGCGACACCGGCAAGCCATTCGTGGAAGTGAGCAATGATGGCCCTCTTCTTTTCGTGACAAGCATACTGTCAGGCGAGGCAAAGTGTCAGCAAGCCCTCTCGACTGTGCCAGAGCCCCTGATTCTCAGACTGCTCCTCTGGGACCAGGCAGGTAGTTACCTCTCCAAGAAACCAGGCGACAAGGTATCCAAACACAATGGCCTCATTGGTCTCGTCGTCGCCCGGGGGCGCGGGGATAGAGGCGACATTCCAGAGATCCGCCTTCCACTCATCCAGGTACTTGTAGGCCGTCTTGGTGTCGATAAGGAGCACGCGTGGAGCACCCTCGATCAGCCAACGTCCATAAAGCATGCCGATACCCCGATCCTTCATGGACTGGATAGTCGCTGCCAGCTCGGGGTTGGTGGGCTCCAGCTCCTCAACTTCAACAGCAGCCTAGGCGCAGAGATATGTTAGCGGGATAGCCCCTCTCCCACTCCCACATAGGTGAGCCGTAGCATCGTTCGGCTTCCTGTACAGCCGCAGCTTACCGAGTGGTGGTTGAGGGGGCCGATAAGGGTGTATCTGTCGCCATATTCGGAGGTCGTCACAGGTGCCTTGGACTTGATAACCGAGTAGATACCTCCCACTATCAGGCAGAAACAGAGTTAGATCGGTGGCGCAGGCTAATGAAACTAGAAGGGCAGCCGCGCGCAGCTCGTTTCAAGTGCTCGTGGGGCTCCCGCGCTAGACATACCTCGATGGGCAACCTCGGTAGCAATCTCGAACAGGATGTGCTGCCTGACATCGCGGGGATGGTGCTCGTCGTTGCGCTCTCCGTTGCGCTCTCCGTTCTGGAACGCAGCCATCGTGGCCGAAGTGCTGTATGCAACCGCCATTAGTTCTCTGCGACCGGATGTGGGTGACGTGTGCTGCCAAGTGTGCCTCGAGTATGAAAGGAGGGGCATATAGTACGAATCTCGCGATTCTCTGGAGCGGGCGAGCGCCCGGGAACAAAAACTTCTAATGAAGACGTCGTCGGGCTATCCGAGTAACAGCGATTGTGAAAGAGCGACGACACCCACTAGTCAGACACTGGCCACCGAGTACTCACAGCAAAGCCCAATGAGGGAGGAGTTCACCCGAGGCGCGCAGGCAAGCAAGCAAGGGTGGAGCGGGCGATATGTAACGCAAGGGATGTTGGAGAGGAGTAGGTGGGACACGAGGTGGCTGGTGCGATGCCTGGTGACCGGGACTGAGGTTGTTGGTGGGATAGACTGGACTAGCTCGTGGAGGGGTAGGATAGATTTATACGATGTGCGATGTGCCAGCGGTTGGCGCCAAGTTATTTCCTCGGATTCGCCGCGTGGCAACCAAGGATTGTCTGAAGGTATTCCCGTCGAACCCAGACACAGCCGTATCGGAGATCGTCGAGAGATGGATGGGGACGAGGGATTAAAACAGGATGAGACAGAGGTAGGGGGCGAGCGCGGAGGGGGAAAAAAATACACAGCAGCGATCATCCCATGTCGAGGCGGCACGAGCAAGCGAGAGCAAGGCCCGGCGGTTGGGCAATTGGCCGCTAATGCGAAAGGCGCAGGGGTCCAGGAAAAGCTCTCCAGAGCAACGAGAAACTGTGGAATCCGGCGTAACCTCAGGTGGCGTCTTGGGCGTGCCATCAGCACTGTGGGGGGCAGCCTGTGCACCAAAGCCACCCGACATGCACAAGGGAGATACCTGCAGCGTGTCGTGCGTGCTAACTAAGTCGCGCCAGAGCTGCATGGCGCAGCGTTAGTGCCTTTGCATTCCAACAGCTGTTATCACATCCTTAACCTCGCATGCTTGATACGAGACGAGGCCAGCGAGGTCTTTTTTCCCTCTGTCCCTCCCCTCCATCTGGGGTTCAGGTATCAATTCAAGTCTTCAAATCATGAAAATTCCGCATTCGTACGGGGTCGCATTGGGCAGACAGAACAGCAAGAGGCAATTAGGCACCTGTTTCCTGCCACGAGGGCTGATTCCTCGGAGCAGATTCGGTCGTCTCCTCCCCTCCCTGCCGGCCTAACGTCCCGCGTTATTATCGCCAGAATCGAAAATTTCTCACTGCCCGTCCCCAATTTGTTGAAATCGGGCCGGTACTGCCCAACACTTTCGACAAACGCCAGCCTCCATTCGTGCGAGGTCGGAATTTTCCTGTCGCTGGAGGCACCAAAGGGAGAGAGGCTTTTATCCCCTGCTCTTTTGTCTTGCATGGTCTCCCGGGCCTTGTCGATTCTCCCTAGTTCTCTCCGTGTCCGTGGGCATCATTTCCCAGCGTCAACGGGCGCGAGGCTCTCGCTCCTCGGCGATTGACGCGACCAAGAATCTCAATCCCATCTCCCGCTTTGGTACCTGCCCTGTACACTGTTTGCGCCGCCAAATGGCAAGTCGCCACACCGTGGTGGTCCCTGTCGGCTTAGTCAGTAAATGACGACAATCGTGCGGGGAGGACCCAAAGCTCCTCTTGTCTGCAGGCGTCATCCCAGCCCAAAGCCGTCCACACCCCACCAGCGGGATTGGGCAAGCACCAGAGCTCTGTGGCTCGCTCTCCAGCTTTGGCCTCCGAGTTCCATGCGGCACAAAACCTTGCCGTCGGCGAGCCCAGATCACCTCCATTCCAGCCGACACATGTCTCGATCATTGTTTGCATGTTATGGCTTCATTACACTGCGGATGCAGGCCGGCCTCCGTACCTCTTCAAACCCAAACAAGCATGGGTCTGGTTCGTCGGAAGCCAGTGCGCTGATGGCTACACGACGTGACGATGCGGAAGACGGGCACAGCCAGATAAAAAAGATCGTCGCACCACGCCGCGCTTAGGCGCGCCGGCGAGTCTGGCCACCTTGGTGTGACTGCCCAATGGATATCTGTGGGGTCCAGATGCGGACTTGCCAGCTGTTTATCGTGGGATCCAGCAAAAGGTCTCACGGAACTTATGGAGATTGGGATCACTTCCCCGCGGAGAGCCCGAGGCCCAGCCTAGCCAGAAGCATCGACTTGCCACTCGCACCCCACATTTTTGCATGGCCCCATCGATGTCGGTATTTGCTTTTTCTGCGTCTTGTTCAGGCTGTCCGGCTAGCGGCAGCTCGTGGGAAGGAAGAGACGCAATGGTCTTGCCGTGGCCAGTCATGCAAGCCGCAATGCTCGATAGATGCACGACATGCGCGAAAAACGACGCTCACATGTGGCTTGCCCTTTTGGCTGTTGATCTCTCGGCAGCTTCCGTGGAAGCGGAGGGTCTCCTTCCGTTCCTTTGTGTTCTTGCTTCCATTTTCTCCGTCTGGCCAAAGGCCAGCCCTAACCCTGAGGATTGCGCCAGTCGACCTATCAGCATAGTGTTCTGACATTTGCGTTTCTAACAACACCGGCGATGGCATGAAACGGATTAGCAGTTAACAATGATGTTCGCTCACACAGATCAGTGGCTACAATCTCCTTGCTTTGTAAATGGTCAAACTTGGAATGTTCTGAGCATTGAAGAATACAGCTTGCTTCAAAAACGGAGGTCTTTGTTCTTATCATAGCTACCGGGCTGGCTTTGTCTGGTTTCTGCCGCCTTTGTGCTTAGTGGAGGCCAGGTATCCGAGAAAGATATCCCTTTGTTGCTCGTTCATGGATACAAACAATGCCTGAAACCATGGCACCAAACCACGCCAGATAAATACCTACTCATTGATGCTACTAAAACCCCCAAGCCATCGGGATTTACGTTCTTGCAAATACCATTTCGGCCAAACCACCACTCTACGACCCTCAGATCCAAAGATTTCTTCCTCCTTGCCCACTCAAACACAGCTAGCAGGACTGGCATCACATATCTACATCACACAGATAACACACAAGCATCGTTCTATGCACGGGCACAAAAATCGCAGAGGTAATGGGGCTGGCCCCCAGAACCGGAACGGAAACGGCAACGGTAATGGCAACGGCAACAACAGGAACAACAACAGGAACAATAATGGAAATAACAACGGAAACAACAACGGCAACAACAACGGCAACAACAACGGCAACAACAACAGGAATAACAACAGGAACAACAATAACAACAACGGCAATAACGGCAACAACAACAGTAGCAACAGAAACAACAGAAACAACAATAACAGCAACAGCAGTAATAACAACAGCCAGAACAGGGGCCGCGGGAGCAACAGCAACGGCAACAACGGCAACAATGGCAAAAACGGTGTGGACATGTGCAGATACATCCCATGCAGCAGGGAAAACTGCCGTTTTGCGCACGCACCCGGCCAGCAATCGAACAGCCAGGGAGGCCACACGCAAAACCAGCCACAGCAGCAAGGCGGCGGCAGCAATGGCTGGTCACTGTGCAGAAACAGACCCTGCAACAATAGAAACTGCCGGCTGGTCCACGGGCCCGGTCAGCAGCAGACCAGCGGCGGGGGAGACGCCCAGGATAACCAGTGGCAACAGCAGAGCGGCGGCGGCGGCGGCGGCGGCAGCAGCAGCAGCAATGGCATGTCCATGTGTTGGCACAATCCCTGCAAAAAAGAAGGCTGTCAGCGGCCGCACGCGCCTAGCCAGCCGCAGCAGCAGCAGCCGCCGCAGCAGGCCAGCAGCACTCAGGGGGGTTCGCGGTTTGATAGTCTCATGTCCGTCCAGATAATGGAATGGATGCGGCAGCAGCAGCAGCAGGCGGCAGGCGGCTACGGCCCGCCTCAAAATCCGCCCTTCATCGACAGTGAGGGCGACGTCATGATGTGCGACTGCCCCAGCCACCCCGACGACCCATCATGGTGCTGCCGGGACCAGTACGTGGCGCTGTGCGACCGCGACCCGTCCTTGGGGGGGAGCGCCGAGGCTTTTAAGGCGTTCTCGACTAGGGTTCATGCGGAGATGGAGGCTGAAAGAGCTAAGGCTCAGGCGTGGTTGATGAGCATGGCGGAGACTATTGCTACGAGGACTTTTCCTAAGTGGCAAGGAGGGGGAGGAGGAGGAGGAAGGGAAGGAGGAGGAGGAGGGGGAGGGGGAGGACGAGGGGGAGGAGGCCCGCGCCGGAGGGCCAGGAATTGACGACCTGTTAACGCAACTAATTGTTCCGCTGGATCGGATGCAAAGTCGTTTCGCGAAAGCGGACCGTCGGCTTTTTCATTAATTTTCCTTATCTCCGACAAAATGTTGGAGCGTGGATACCTTTATATACGCGCATACCTTTATATAAACATATAAACCAAACTTGTCATTTCTAGCATCAAAAAGTGTAGTCCCTCGTTCTCTCCGTGAGGCTTTGGTGCAGGGTGTTATTTCACCCTCCTGGATTGAGGAGCATCCAGAGGCTCACGATCACGTGACGGCGCCCCGAATTTTCTTGGCCCTGAAAGCAACGTCAGCTGAACGGCAGGGATGGAACCTAAACCTCTCCGCTCCCCGCCATTGCCAACAAACACTCACTCGCCTATGATTTTTTCAACCGAGACTGAAGGCCATATCTATTTCTCCAACCTCATGCGCATCCTTACCATAACTATTTTACGCACAGGAGGTCGCCGTCGGCCAATCTTCCATCTTTCATCCACCTCATGGGCCTCTCGTCCTGGCCCACCTCGCCGAGAATGGCCAGGTCGACATCATGCTCAGATCACCTCCACACGCCTCATTCACTACCAGCTCGATTCTCTGTGACCGTTTCAGGCCACTGAGCGAAACATGCTGGCCTGGCTTCCAACCATCCCTCACTGGATCTTCAAAAAAGACTGAATGCGGGTAATAATGGAGTCCGGGTAGTTGAGGTGCACATACTGCTCAGACATCCCAACGAAGCAACCCATCGCCGAAATTATGACAGCAAACAAACGACCGGATCCGTCCGGCCAAGGGGTCCGTAACGACCACCTATTTGATCGATTTGGAGGCGATAGTGGTCATTTAGACACTCGCGCAGTCGGCTGGAGTGCGGGGTGTCTACTGCTGGCGCCTGTCTGATCTGGATTCAACGAAGATGCACAACCTGCATTTGGGGCGTCTTCGTATCAACATTGGGCGCACTTCAACGGCCGGAACGACGTCGCCCACAGATTTCCCCCCCTGTTTATGGGTGACGTATCTATCAACCTGGCACACTTTCCGGGGCTCTGGGCAGGGACTTGCCCCACAGCATGGCGTCTTGCGGCTCGAGTAGATTGCTCGACTTACCCAACGAGCCTGGATACTAACTTGAACTGCGTCCAAGCCATCACTGGGTATGGATGGATGTTTTACGTGCATTCGGCCAGACTTTCCGCCCTCCGCTGCTCACTCAGTCGTCACTGGGAGCTCTTCAACGAAGTGGCGACTGCTGTCTGACGCCCTCAGGCTGTATGGCCTCGCGGGTCGCTAGCAGCTGGAGGCGAACGGGATGATTGCATGGGATGTGGGGTGGGACGCGCACAGGAGAAGGCGGCACTGGGCTTGCAAATCGTAAAATTGCATGATATCATAGGTAGTTTGGCGGGTGCGCGTCCAGCTTCCTGTCCAACTGCATCATGACGGGGTGCGGGCAGGGAAGCCTAGGCTTTGGAGCCAGAACTGCGCGGCTTGAAGTCGCCTGGCTATCACTAAGGGGAGCCTTGGTTTGTTAGGTGGCCGTTGCTTGCCTATGTTCAGAGTGGCTCTGAACCTCTCCAGGGAGGCGGAGAATGAGGAAGATGAGGCAAAAAGAGAGAACAAAGGGAAGGCATGGAATCGGGCATGGGTGGCGCCTGATCGACCACCTTGTCCGTCCGTCCTACATGGTGGCCCGAGTCTGGCCTATTTAGGCCGTCGAGGGACATCCCACCTTTCACAAGGTGGCGCTTCGAGCTCTACGCGCTACTAGGCTTCCTGACACGCTATGATGACTGGGAATCAGGCAAAGGAGCATTGAGCACACTTGCACGCCTATTCTCGCATCGAAGATAGCACGAGAGCGGTCGGAAGCTGCGGCTGGAGGGGCTACAGCCTTATCGACCCCATCACTCGCCGATTGCCTCGACCTGGCATTCTTGTCCGAGTGCACCAGCCTCGAGACCAAGCCATTCAACACACGACGTCAACGTGCCCGGATAGCCGTGCGATAGATCTGGCTAGACGAGCAACTGCCGAGGCAACCTCGGTATCGTGTCTCTAGAGCGCATGAGTTTCTCTAGTTTGTGGAACGGGTACCTAGAGCCGCCTCCTTTGGGAGGTGCTGCCCAAGCCCAAGGAGCGACTCTCGAGCATCGACGCTGGAAAATCTCGTTTGCGCCGCGCCTCGAGCCTTCGACGGTCACAGGAGAGGACCACCCGTGAGAGCAACACCAGTCCTGCATACCCATTACGTGCAGAAACCATTCGCTTATGGGCTTGGCTTGGGCGCGTGTCTTTTGGGCAACGTAGGCCGCGTCCGGCTGCCGGCCACATAACCAGTGCACACAACAGCTAGCCGCTCTGGCTGAGGTGGACGCAACAGCCTTGTCCAAGCTTCATCCCATCGCACCAAGTCCACGCAGACAGCCTCTCTGCAGGACTAGCACCACCCGCTCCTGTCTGCGCTCGACTTACCACCTAATGTACCCACAGCTTATCACTCTCCGCAGCAGGTCATCCTCAAATCGCTCCTGAAAAGACAAATCAAACAAACGCCCGCCAGATTGCCCGCAGGCAAATTGCCAACACGGGCCGGCAAAGCTCGCCAGGCCGTTCCTCTTCAATCGAGTTGTCATTCAATCTCAACCCGATCTAGGAATCTTCGCCATCGCCCAATTCCCGCGCCGGCTGAGGTAATCTGCCTGCCTGCTCGAATCACCGTAGACTCGAGCCTCGCGTCGCGCCAACCACCAAAATCGTGCGTCCTGCTTTTGCCCAGTGCTCCACCAAGAAGAAAGAAAAAAAAGACAAAGGACGCGCGGCGGAGGCCTTTTTAGTATTCGCTACGTTGGCTTTAGCCACGTTTTTGCCTGCACCAAAGGCAAGCAGCGCCCTCTGCTAGGCTGGATGTGTGCGCGGGCTCAGGTCACACAGTGTGTGCTCCAGCGGGCTGTCGGTGCCTGTTGCCAGCAGTTTGGGGCGTGGGCGGCCGCTGAAACGCGGGTCCTCCAGCGAAAGCGACAGCGGGCCCGCAGCGCAGTGCAGCAAGGCTGGAGGGCGACATCCTTGTCTGCTCGGCTCAGGTCCCGCCTTGACCAGCACTAAAACTCAAATCCGAATCTCGTGGAGCCACAGCCATGGACCTCAAACCACGTTATCGCCATCACAATGCTGCAATGCCCGACGACGGCCGCACCAGCACCAACGGTGACGAGCGCAGTGACCGACGCCCGAGGCATGACAGAGGCATGAATCCAGCGCGTAGATCCCCATCCTCCCCACCCCCCTTCGCCACCGATTTGACGCAACGCCCTCGCGAGAGCCGCCGGAAGCCGACCAGGGCTCGCTCGCTCACGCGGCCCGACACCACCACGCCCGCCCCCGACTCGAGGCCCGGGGACCTCGACCGGCCTCATCCCCCGCCCGACCCCCAGCGACACCAGCGCCGCAAGTCGCCGGGCCCGAGTCGAGATCGCCCGCGCCGCCCCGAGAGGCCGCGCTCTCGCCCTCCCCGCGGCGACCCTCGCGGCCCTCGCGACCTGCCTGACCACCAGCCCTCCCTCGACCCCCGTCTCGACCGCTCGCGCCAGGAGCCGCATCCGCGGGACAAGGAACGTCATCAGCCCGTCGCTAGAGATAGTGCGCATCGCGCAGCCGCCTCTCCGCCGCCGTCCGCTAAACGGCCACGGAGCCCCGGCCCTCCGACATTCGCAGACTTGGATCCGTCGGCGAAGAGACCTCGACACGACGACCACAGTCCCCATCGCCCCGACCAGTCCTATAAAGACCAGCAGCAATACACCCAGCATCCCGACCAGCGACGAGGAGGCCGTCGAGACGAGGGACCTCGGCGTCCAGATTCGCCCTTTGGTCGACGCTCGCTGTCCCCTGAACGCGACCCGCGACGCGACAAGCGATCGAAAAAGAAGAAGAAGAAGAACAAGAATCGCCGCGGCCGATCAAGGTCCCCAGGCCCGAGAGGTCGAGACGGGGGCCCGCCGCCCCGCGACCCGCGTGACCAACAAGCCCGACCGCCTGGCCCCTATAATCGAAGAGACTCACCCCTAGGCAGAGGAGGTTACTCGCGCTCACCACAACCCCCGGGGTTGCGACGGCCGTCCTTCTCCCGCGGCCGCTCTCCATTCTCACCTAGGCGAGCCGCTGGGGCAGGCGAGCGGGTCCCGACCTCATCGCCGGTCGACGCCCAGTCTCGTGACCGGAACACGCCCGACAGAGACCACCACCATCACCCCGACGCGCAGCGTAGACACCACCATCAAGGAGAAGGCCGTTCTCTACCGCCGCCACGGCGCGAGCGCGAGCGCGAGCGGGAACGTGAGCCTAGGAGCAAAAGGGGCAGGAATCGTGAAGAGCGTTCCTCCCGCAAGTTCCAGCCACAGGCATCAGGCGCCAACAGTATAGAGGTCAACATGTCGGCCAGAGGTGGAGGGCACCGAGGCGGATACAACTCGGGCGGCGGGTATTCAATGAAGGGTTCCTACAGTCAGGGGATTCCGTCGCACCACCAGGGCCCTAGGCGGTTCTCTCAATCGTCAGGCCACGCCACTCCTCATTCATCCTTCCATGGATCACCGCCACCTCCACAGTCGCCCTACGGCGGGAGCCAGACTTGGGGAAACAACCAACCGCAACAGCAACAGTATACGTCACCGAGGTAAGTTATCAGACGCGATGCATACTTGCACCAAACTCCCCCGCTGTCTCGTTTCGATATCTCGCCTTTGCTAACTCGACGTGTCTAGTCAACACCCTCCCCAATATCCCCAAGGCGGAGGAGGCTACACACCGACGGGCCCGCATAGCCAGTTCCATCAAGCACATTCCCCTTCGTACGGACCGCCGTCAGGACCAAGCCCTCAGTATTCCGCATACCCGCAAGGCCCCGGGCGGGGAGGCTATAGGAATGGCTCTGGCGGCTTCCGTGGTGGCAACACCTCTAATAGTAGCGGACGCGCCGGGTATCGTGGCAACAGCTTTAGGAGCACCCACTCGAATGGCAGCCTGCATGGCGGCAGTGGCCACACAAGTCCTGCGCCCGCATCCAACAATGGCGACGCGACCGTTGAGCCGCACAAGGAGGCGAATGGGCCCCATGCGCCACAACCGGACGACACCGCGGAGGAAGACAATCCGTTCAGGCCATCCAAGGACTTGCAGGTCGAGGATACCAGCCCGTCCGCGCAGCCTGCTAGTGATTCACTACCGCTTCACCAGCAACAGGACGAGTCTCTTGAGGAACAACAGCAGGATCGAGTACAGGACGAAGGACAGGAACAACAGGAGGAGCAACATCATGAACACCAAGATATGCCACCCCCAACGGCGAGACAGCCTCCCACTGGTCCGCAAAACACAAAGATCAAGTTCCAAATGAGGAGCTCCAAAGCACCGGCCACAATGCCCAAACCCGAGATCTCATCCAAATTCAACGCCATCCCCCAGCAGCACCAACAACAGCAGCAACAGCAACAGCAGCAGCAGCAGCAAAACCACCAGCAGTCACAAAAGTCACAATCACAGCGCCCTGACTCTTCCAAGCATGATCGAGATTTCCCCCGCAATGCTCCGACAGAGCCCGCAGCGGCGAGGCCTAGGAATGACCGCGGGCAACGGCCACCTCATGACGCTCCCCGACAGCCCCAGCAGCAGCAACAGCAGCAGGCGCCACAGCCGCGATTCAGGATGGTCAAGAAGTTGATGAAGCGCCCTGTTCGGAAAGACCCCTTACCTGCCGAGCTAGCAACCTCCGGGTCTGTCTTCTATCGCAAGCCCGGAAACGAGTCGGTCGTCGGCTCGGGAACCTACGGAAAGGTGTTCAAAGCTATCAACGTATACACCAAGAACCTGGTGGCGCTGAAGAAGATCCGCATGGAGGGCGAGCGAGATGGATTTCCCGTGACCGCGGTGCGCGAGATCAAGCTGCTGCAGTCGCTCAGGCACATAAATATCGTACAGCTGCAGGAGGTCATGGTGGAGAAGAACGACTGCTTCATGGTGTTTGAGTACCTGTCGCACGACCTGACGGGCCTTTTGAACCATCCCAGCTTCAAGCTGGACGCGGCGCAGAAGAAGCACCTGGCCAAGCAGATGTTCGATGCTCTCGACTATCTGCACCGCCGCGGAGTGCTGCACCGAGACATCAAGGCAGCCAACATTCTGGTCAGCAACGACGGTGTTCTCAAGCTTGCCGACTTTGGATTGGCTCGCTTCTACGCGAAGCGTCACCAGCTCGACTACACAAACCGCGTCATCACCATCTGGTATCGCTCGCCCGAGCTGCTTCTGGGCGAGACCCGCTATGGCCCAGCCGTCGACATCTGGAGCGCCGCCTGCGTCATGGTCGAGATCCTGACGCGCTACGCCATCTTCCCGGGCGAGGGCGGCGAGATCAGCCAGCTCGACAAGATCTGGGCTGTCTTGGGCACGCCCAACCGATCCGAGTGGCCAGGACTTGTCGACATGCCCTGGTTCGAGCTGTTGCGCCCTTCGTTCCGCCGCCCAAGCACGTTTGCAAAGCTGTATCGTGAGCGCCTAACTCCCGCCGCCTTTGCGCTTCTTGAGGCCATGTTTCGTTTCGACCCGACCAAGAGACCATCAGCCGCCGAGGTCCTTGAGCACCCGTACTTTGCCGAGGAGGAGCCGGCTCCAAGGCAGGCTGTCGAGTAAGCAACGCTTTCTTTTTCTTCTTACCCTCTCGCCCAATCACAACATGTTCCAACCTGCTAACCTCCTTTGCTCACTTTCAATAGACTTGCAGCCATCGACGGCGACTGGCACGAGTTCGAGTCGAAGCAGCTCCGTCGCAAGAACGAACAGAAGGAGAAGGAAGCGAGGAGAGCCGCAAAGGAGAAAGAGAGGGAGAGTGTCAACGGCAGAGACGCGTCGACAGCCGCGGGCAAGGACAATGGCGACAATAGGAAGCGCCCCCACGAGTCGGCGAGTCACGACCAGCGCCAGCGCGACCCTAAAAGGCAGCACGTGGACGAACGCTCAGCACAACAACCAAGCGACTCGGCTCAAGCAGACAAACATGAACAGAAGCAATCCGGCGAAGCTGACTTGGCCGGCTCAAAGGCCGCCGCCGCTGCACCAAATCCAGAACCAGCACCAGGGGGTTCGACTATGGTGGTTGTGAGCGCTACTACGAGCGACGCCTAAGCTACTGCTGTAGACCCCAGCCGGAGGTCCCGGCATGTGGACTGGACTTTTTGCTGTCGAGATGCCCCGAATGAAACTCTTCTTTCGTATCTATACTATGGTTGGGCAAAAGGGGACGGAGGGGGGGCTTTCTTTTTCTTTTTCTTGTTTTTCCTATCCTATTTTCTTTCCACCTCTTGTTCACAATTAATATGTATGTGGTTGATCGTGTCGCCACTTGCGCTGTTCTTGCTATATCGCTAGGTGCCCTTAAGGCCAGGTGATTGACGAGAAAACAAATGAAGGACACACAAAAAAAAAACACTGGAAGAGTTCGCGTACGAGTGAGTGGCCGAGATGGGGGGTTGGGGCAAAAGGGTGGGAAACGGCTTCGGGGCAGCTAGCGCGGCCAGTAGCGTCTTGCATGTTGTACCTAATACATGAGCGGAGAGGCCCTTTTTTTTTTACACATGTGCCGGGCATTATCGAACCATATTTCTATACGACCAGGGCCATCTGGCCCAAGAGCCGCAGGGGATGGGCACGGTGTCCTGGTACTCGCCGACGTAGAGCTCGATGGTGGCATCTGGGAGGCAGCCTGGCTTCCATAGCATGTCTCAAGATACCTACCCAGTCACGAGCAAGAAATAAACCATGACACGTGTTTTGAAGGACAAGAAAAAGGCGTTATGGGTCATCTAGATCTGGGAGTTCCTCTAGCTCAGACGGGCAGTGTAAAGATGGGATGGACAAGGCAGAGGACAAAGGAAATTCGACCAAATCTGTCTCGTGCTACTTGGGTAGTTCGCATCCTTTAAGTCATCTTGGATGTAAAACAAAGGAAAATCGTGCTGTGAGTACAAGATGAGGGGGTATGATTGGGTTTGTGCCCAAAAAAAGAAAACCAAAAACAAAGAAACAAACAAGCCAAGAAACTCCCGCTAAAGCGATAAACAGATGAAAGAAGAAAAAAAAAGTAGTGGGGTGCCGTGTTCCATCGTGCCACTCGGCAAGCATGGAATGGAATAGTACATTCGAATAAAAAAAGAAAAGAAAAAGATACCCCTGCCGTTTATCCTTGTGCCCACTCATGGTGTCGTAGTAATACAGGTCGCTGTGCTGGCTGTGGCTCGGGCCAGAATTAGTGTGGCATTGCCGTGATTGGCGGGTGGGGGGGTGGGGGGTTGCGTCAAGAGGAGGCTGTGCCGTAAGTCGTAGTAAATGGGTGGGTGTTTGTGTGGGTGGAGGCGCAGAGACCTAGCTTGGTGTAAGCCGACTCAGCTCGGCTTCAGCTTCAGCTCTGTAGGGGCTACCACAATCGGCGGCTGCTAGCAGCGTAAGGGCTGCTGCTGGCGATATCGCTGTAGGGGTTACCATAATCGGCGGCTGCTGGCGATTTCCGCCCTGCCAGGCCACCGTAGCCGGCGCCAGGGCTGTCGGCTCGCGGGCCACTGCCAGTCAAACTACGTCCCAGTTTCACAGGCTCGGGTATGGCGCCTGGTGTTGGGCTCGGCTGCCCGGCTGGTGAGCGCAGAGGTTTTGGCTGTTGCTGCTGGTGCAGCTGGCGCTGCTCCGGCGTCATGCTCCTCCGTATATCCCTGCGCGGAATCGTGGGGTACGAGGCAGGCGAGACACCCGGAGACACGGGGGAGTTCTTCATCTCCGGGGAAGCTGGTGGCAGTTTCGCAACGGCCCCCGGCTGGGCCGAGAGATCGCTGTTCATGGCCAGCATCTTAGCGTAGGCGGATTTGGGAAACGGCGGCATCGGAGGGACCGAATTCGCAGGGTCGGAAAGCTTGGACTGAGGCGGGGTGTTGGGGGAGTAGACGCTGGAGGTTACGCTCATGGTGCTATACCCCTTGCCGGTCCGGCCCATGTTGATGGGCGAGCCCAGCCTCTGTGGCACGTTGAGCGGAGCAACCGCGGCCGACGCAACCTCGACCCCATCGTCACCCTCGGGCCACGGTGCGTTGTCGCCCTTGAGCGTCGACCGGCGCCTCCAGTTCCCCGACTTGTCGGCCACGTAGTAGGTCGTTGCCGAGTGAGGGTCGTCAGGCGGTGGCCGCCAGATCTGGGCCCCGTCCGCATCCGCATCTTCCTCTCCGTCCTCGGCGAACTCGGTCACGTCGCTATCCCTGTTTGGCGGGATTGCGAGCGCGAGCGTGGGCCTGATGCTCCCGGACGGGGAGCCCTCCCACCCCCGCGAAAACTGGCCATGCTCGTGCTGTGGTGGTGTGAACTGCAGCGACTGTCGCTTTGCCGTTGCAGCAGCTGCCGGGGTGGCGGCGGACGCGTAGAGTGGCCCCGCTGGCTGAAAGCGGCCGGCCACCATATCTGGGGAGAACGCCGGGCCGATGTTGACATCCGCTCGAGGTCGAGTGCCGCCCACGACAGTCTCGTACGGCCTCGGTGCCCACGCATCGTCGGTGCCGCCTCCTACGCCTATGGGTCCCGAAATCTGCATGCTCTGCGGCCGCGAACCATCCTGGCTGTTGGTCTTCTTGCTCCAACCTCGGCTCAGCGAGTCCCGAAGCCAAGCAAAGGCGCCGGCGGCACCACCACCGCCGCCGCTGGGTCCGCCACGGTTGTCGTAAGATGACGACCTGGCTGCGTTTTCTCCGTTTTGCAGCCGATCCCGTCTCCGCCGCCTGGCCAGAAATGCCAGGGCCATGAGCAGAAATAGACCAGACACGGATCCAACGGTGATACCAGCGACCTGCCCCCCACTTATTCTGGACATGCCTGAGGGTACCGCCACGGGGGCTACCGAGCTAGTGGTGCCCGGTACTGCGGTGCCTGTGCCCGTCTGCGAGGTATTTGAACTCGGGTTTGGGGTCGGAGTTTCCTCGCTTGTTGAAGTTTCCCTAGGAGCTGTTACTAATGTGGTTGGAAGAGATGAGGATTCGGTGTTTGAAGTTCGGGTTATCGTTTGAAAACTGGAGAATATTTCCGAGGGAGTTGCGGAGGAAGTCAATGGGGAGGTTGATACAAAGCTCGACGAGAATGGTTGTGATGCCGAGGGCGTCGTCAAGGAAGTCGTCGAAGAAGCTCCTGAGTGAGCCGTCGAAGAAATTTCAGAGGTAGTCGAAGAAATTTCCGAGGAAGTCGTCGAAGACGCTCCTGAGTGAGCCGTCGAAGAAATTTCCGAGGAGGCCGTCGGAGAAATTTCCGAGGGGGTCGTCGAAGAAGCTCCTGAGTGAGCCGTCGAAGAAATTTCCGAGGAGGTCGTCGAAGAAGACCTCGAAGAGCTTCTCGTTCGCGAAGTAGTCCTCAAGGAAGGAGGAGAGGAGGTCGTTGGCGTAAACGTGCGCGTCTGCGCAACCGGGGTTGCCACGATGACGGTTTGCGTCGGCGCCGCAAAGCCAGCTACTGTGTGACATACCGAGTACGCCGCAGTAACCGAGGCCGCTGGGATGTTTGTTAGCACCTATCGACCCCTTGGATGGGTGGGAGACAGGACTGCACTTACCTGGCACTTGGTCACCCGCGCAACGGCCACCTATCATCTCGGCCGCCATGCACTGGACCGCGCCCTCACCGAAGGTGGCCCCGGTCGAGCCGTACCTGACACACAGGCACTCAAGGGACGGGCTAGCGCCACACGCGTCCAGGAATCGGTTGTTCTCTATGAAGGCCTGGTAGCAGGCCCCAGCGCAGGTGGGCACAAACTTGTTGGCTGCCGCCGCCTCGGGAGCGGCCGCCGGGGCGTCCGCCGCGTGGACGAGAGTCGGTGCTGAAGCCCATAGCGAGAGTAGGAGACTGAGGACGTCGGGTCTGATCGCCGCTGCGGTAGTAGACATCTTGACGCGACTTCCATGTCGTCCCCTCTCCAACATGGGCGGTGTCGGTTGGTTGCTCCACGCTTGGTTCGTTGTTTGATGTAGACTCGGTGGTATCGCAGGTTGGTTGCAGCTAGTTTGCGTGTTAGACCCCAAGCAGAGCGATATTCATGACGGGGAGGAGATTTCGGGGGAAGAAAGAAGACGGCAACGAGAGGCGGTTGGCCCGTTCAAGAGCTGGAGTGGGTTTGGTGCAGCAACAGTAATCAGGTGTGGGATGGCCCACGACCACATAGGCGGGCGTGTCCGAGGCTGAATAAGAGGGCGCCTGCCAGCTGGGCGACTTACGAAGAGGCTGAGCAGGTGCGCTGCTGTGCTGCGCTCGAGAACCACAAGATGCGGCCCCCCGCCGCGCGCCATCGCATGGCTTAAGACGTCGCTGCTTCCACTCCCTCGCAGCTGGGAGAATGACGAATCAATAAGTCGAGGTGAGACGGTAAGTGGGCGAATCCGACGAGGGATTCGAGGACGGTCGCATGCCCGACCAGCTCGTCAGGCAGCCAACGTAATATTGGGAGCAGCTTGTAGACATTCAAGAAGGGCACTGTTAAACTGTGGTATGGGGCGTCGGTATATCGAGAGACGGAAGGGAGGACAGGAAGATAGGCTAGACAAGGGAGGGACAGAAAGGACAAAAGGGAAGAGAAGAATACAACAGGTCTGGGAGAAGACGGCCCAGGAACGCGGAGAAGCATATCAACAAGATAGAAAAGAAACACCAGGTCCCCGGCGCCCTGACCGCCCATCAACCTGGCGCGCACCGCCTCGAGGGGTCATTGCCCGTCTGAGGTATCTCCAAGCAACCACACGGACCACTGCTTGACATCGGTACATTCCCACATGTATTCCTAGAATACTTTTCGTGGCGTTGCCTTGGGCGGTTCCGGGACAGGGGTCCCCCCTTCCCCCATGACGCCCACCCGCTTGGGTTCGACGAGACTAAAAAAACGATAGGACAGGGGTGCACCGTTGCGACAGGGCGGCCTGCAAGGGCAGGGGCTGCAGGGTCTGTTCCCTTTCCCGATCTGAGCTCCTCGGTCCAGAATGAGTGTTTCGCGGCAAGGGGAAACGGCTCAAGAGGGCTCCGGCTGGGTGCGTTTTGCTGCATCATGCAGGCAGAGGGAGGCACATCAATTGGGTTGAGGTGAAAAGGGTGAGAAAGGGCGATAAAGCACCACAAGGCACAACAAACGAAGAAAAATTGGAACTGGCCTCAACTGCGTCAATCAGATGCGCATACGCACCCAAGCATCACCCCAGCACCCCCAGCTCTCCCGCCCGTGGTTGGCCCTTGTCCGCGGGCGGTGGGGCCCTCCCTATTTTGGTGCTCAGCCGCCCACCCAAAGGGGCGCGGCAGGCGATCTTCTTGGCGTCGTTTCCATGAGACAGGCAGCCAATGGGCGGCGCTCGTTTGCTGACGACAGCTGGGGCCATTGGCTATGTTTTGGCTCAGCCGCCCTCCATTTTCGACTCGCTCGGGCAAGGTGCGTCAAACAAAACCTAAGCTATGGCCACTTTACGCGCTTACCACAGTATAGCCGTCGCAGAGGAGCGAAGGGCGCCTAAATTTGGGCGGTAACGAAGACCAAAAACATCGCCTTCCCACCCCAATTGTGTCCGCCGTGTTGCTTAAGCGCTGGCCTGCCCAAGATCGGACCCCTAGATGTGTCCTGCCCCACCGCTCGTGGGCGCGCATGTGTGGGCGCGCATGTGTGGGCAACCCCCAAATGCTGCGCTTCCCATTTAGGCTTCCTTGCCACCCAGGGCTAGTCAGAGAGGCGCGATGGAGTCATCGTTATCATGCTCGTTTTGTCAATGCCATGTGAAATCACGATGCGTGAGGAGTAGATGGTCGGGCAGGGTGGAAGCCGCACTAATTGATAGACCAAAGCTTGGCAGCATAGCTTGGTAGGTAGTCTCCAGCAACCAAACGAATCAACATCCAGCTTTGTGCCATCTTGGATACATTCTAGGGAGTGTATACCTAGCAGGTAACTAATCCGGTTGAAAATGTCCAACACCATCGCCCACCTCCGGTCGGGATCCGACACAGGGGCAAGAAAATCAACGAGCCAATCCGAGCCCTTTGGCCCCCAAGGGGTTCTTCTCCCGAAACACCACGCGCGGGGGAACTCTCCGAACGCTTTACGGGGCGACTGGTCATCCAGCTCCCACCACTTTCAGAAAGGGGGAGGAAAAAAAAGGCCCCGGCTGGCCGAACTCGGTGTTTCGAGGCCCGTCAATCACAGGCCGGCCGTCGATCACAAACACCGTGGATCTCCCATGCCTCAACCCACCTGGTGGGCGATCTGGTTCACAGGCGCTGTATGTCCATCGAGGGCTCTCGTTTGGAGCCGGCGCCATTGGCGACGTCTGGTTATGCAGCTCAGGAACGTGAAACCGGGCTTTGTAGCAAGGCGTCCCCGATAACAGCCTGCAGCTGCACATGCGCTGCCATCCAGTGACCGTAGTCGGATGCGATGTGGCAATGTCCCATGCAGATTGAAAGGACACTATCACGCGTTTCTAATTCCCCATTCCGTCATCTAGAGCGCTAATTGAGGGCGGTACGACTGCCTACCTATCTACCAAGTGGATAGATATTCCTGCGAGATTTCTTTTTCGCAGCAGGTGTGCCCCTTGACACCCCAAAGAGATCTCTTGCGTCATTTGGTTGCAGGAACACATCTTGAAATGACAACTTCAGAAAAACACGGCGCTAGCCCTGGAGTGCCCTAAAACTCAATCAAACACCACGCATCATTCACATCGGATCAACCATCCGGTAGCTTGACTGGAACCACTAGTTTGCAAGTACTTAGAGGGATTGCTGCTGTATGGTAATATAAGTCTGAACGCACCCATGGTATCGTGGCGTTCGGGTTGTTGATACTGCGCCCACTCCGATGCACCCAAAAAAAAAAGAAAAAAAAAAGATCCTCCCAAAAAATCGCGCCAGCTATCGACCAAATGTCGGTACGCCATCATCATACCCACCGGAGTCAGACTTTGTCTGCCATGTACACAGCCGTAGCCGCCATCAGGGGCCTGCCTGCCGCCGGCTCCGAGACGGGCAAGATGTGACAACCCCTGGAATAAATCACGACGCCCCCTGTTCGGCGGGCGTGTAGTCCGACTTGGCACGGGTCGACTTGATGACCTGTTGAACCTGCTTCTCCGCCTCGTCCCAGTCGTCCGTCGACAGCTGGATCAGGTCGATTCCATAGTACTCGGCAATCTGAGAGAGAGCGCTGAAGCTCTTGCGGTCGTGCACGAAGGTGATGCTGACTCCCACGCGGCCGAAACGGCCCGTTCGGCCGATACGGTGCAGGTACGTCTCGGCGTCGGGCGCCCCATCACCAGGTCCCTTCATCGGGACGTCGTAGTTGACCACAAGGGAGACGCTCGCCACGTCGATGCCACGAGCAAGTACGTTGGTGGTAATGAGCACCTTGGACCGGCCTGAGCGGAACTCGTCCAGAATGTCATCTCGGCTCGCGCCCTCGAAGGCACCGTGTAGCACAGAGACCTTGTGGCCATCTGCCTCCATCCGCTTCTGGATACCACTCGCGCTCTCACGAGTCTTGACGAAAATGACCGACGAGCCGATCGACATCAGGCCATACAGCTGGCAAAGGATGCCGTACTTGTCGCTGTTCGAGGGACAGTCGACGTACATCTGAGAGATGCCTTTGACTGTTAAGTTCTCCTGCTTCAGCCTCATCTGATTGGCTTCGGGCGCAAACTTCTCGGCGTAGCTCTTGACACGGTCCGGGAAGGTGGCCGAGAATAGTAGAATCTGAATGGACTTGGGAAGCATGCTAAAATAAACATGACATGGTTAGTTCCGTCGTAAAGCGCGACATTGGCATGGCCTCAAAAACTGCAAATACTTACTTCTTCACCCTGATGCATTGCTCTCCCATGCCCTGTTGGTCGAGCATGTTGTCGGCCTCGTCCACCACAAGGAGCTTGAGCTGAGATACATCAAACTGGCGGCGGCGGATGAGGTCCATCACTGTGCCAGGCGTCCCGACCACGACGTTCGCCTTGACGCCTGTCTCTCTCGATATAGCGCCGGGAATCGCGGCCTCGACGTTGAGGTTGTCGCAGAACTGGCCGATGGACTGGATGACGCTCTTGATCTGGCGGGCGAGCTCACGACTCGGGGCCAAGCACAGGGCCTGAGGCTGCATGGGCTTATCGTAATCGACGCGGGATAGGATGGTGACAACGAAGGCGCCCGTCTTGCCGGTGCCCGACTGCGACTGCGCAATCATATTGCGCGGAGGGCTGCTCAGCATCAGCGGCAGAGCGCGCGCCTGGATCTTGGACGGCTTCCTAAAGTTCATGGCTAGCAGGCCGTTGATTATGGGCTCGGGACTAGAATGCGCGCGTTGACCTGATTAGCCTGAAGGAGTATCAAAGTAGCTTGGGATGGCGCGCAGCATCTGCGCAGGTTACTTACAGTCCAAGGTCGCTGAAGCTGCTGATGGACGACAGCGGAGTGTCGGTGTCGGGGTCGCCCAGCTGGACTTCAACATCGTAGCTGGATTCAAGAAGGTTGCTCTCTCCTCCATCGTGGGCGCCATCGGTCTGGGGAATAGCTGAAGACTCGGCCGCAGGCTCTGCGACAGCCGGCACCGGCGCGGCCTCCGCAGCTCCCTCTGGCTTCGTGATACGGCTAGCAAGATCCGCCATACTCGCGGACTGCACTGTGTACTGAAATGCGATCGTTAGAGCTCTTGTCGAGGGCACAAGCGAATATGCGTTTTCAAGTGGCGTCCAAGGCTGTCGGTTTGTCGGTAGACGCCGTGAGACTGGCAAGGCACCTCAAGCAGTATGTAGGTAGGTAAGTTTTTTCAGGTATGTGCCGGTGTAGACTGAGCTGTCTTGACAGGCGATGAAGCTCGGCTCCACGGAGATATCATCTTTATAGACGGCAAACGAACCGACAGAGCGAATTGAAAATACAAAGAGATCTTACCTGGCCGGGGGTGAACGGTCACTATTTTTTTTAGATGCAGCTCCGGATGCGGGCTGTCTTTCTTCTTTTCTTTTGTTCCCCAACTCACGTTCCCGAAACACGACAGGGAAGTTTCAAGCGCGCGCCCGAGCTGCCTCGAGGTTGCGATGCCCCGCACAAAGAGCTGTCCCGACTGGGTGGGGTGGGGTCGGATGGGATCTTCCAAGGTTTGGTGTTGTGGCGGTTGTCTCTGGAGTGGCGTCAGTGGCTGAGCAGCTTCAACTGGGGTGCTGGGCAGCCACAACCACGGACCGCCCAGCGCGCTGAGCCATTCGAAGGGCACCGAAGACCCAGCGTGGGTGGTCGGGCATTTTGGCCCAACGGTGGCAGACGCAGCTGAAAATGGAGGGCATAAATTCGGGGGGTCTGGACTGGTGACTGTGCCTACGTCGATGCGCCAACGCCTCTTTCCACCAACGTTCTTTTGAGCGTGTGCGCCTTCGGGAATTTGCGCCGGTATCCGGCCGTCACCCCCCTTCATAGTGCTCCTCTTCCCCAGCTCGTTTGTTCTCCTGCAGCAGGCTATGCAGGCTAGGGCCCACCACCTGCTCAAAACGTACTCGACCCAGCCTTTTAGCCACGGCCTTGGCTCATTGGAGGGGCTGTTGACGACGACGGCCGACGCACCCCCCGAGCGGGCTTACCTTTTGCCCCTGCCTGGGCAGTCATTCACTTGCGCCGATTTTCCCTCTCGCGCAACAGCCACCTGAACGTCACCCTCACAGCCTCACCCGCCTCTGGATTCGATGTCCCGAGACTTTGGCGACGGTGCTGGTGCTTGATCCCCGTCCCAGGAACCGAAAAGCTGCCCACAATGGCCGCTGTCGAAAGTGCGCCAACCTTCGGCGCAGAGCTCAAGGTGCGCGCCCCAACCTCGCACTCCCGCCTCCATTCCCTTCCATAGCAACGCAACCGCGACAATCGCACCTTGCTGACAGCCCGTGGTTCAGGATGGCTTCAAACCCGCCAACGCGTGGGTCGCGGGCGGCATCGCCTGGATCGACGACCTCCAGCAGTTTTACCGGGAACGAGCGGCCATAGAAAAGGAGTACAGCGCGAGGTTAACTGCGCTCGCAAAGAAGTATTTCGAAAAGAAGGCCAAGAAGTCGGCAAGCTTGAGCGTCGGCGAGAACCCCGCAATGACCCCTGGATCTCTTGAGAGGTAACGCCCTTACCCATTCCCTCTGGTACCCTTGCGCTGCGGCGACAGACCTGCGTGGCTGCTAACAAACCACACATCTCTTCCTCGACACAGTGCCTCCATCACAACGTGGACAACCCAGCTCAATACTGTCGAAGCCCGAGCCAACGAGCATAACCAGTTCAGCAACGACCTGATCAACAAGGTTGCCACGCCGCTCCAGGGTGTGGCCACCAAGTTTGAGGAGCTCCGCAAGCGTCATGCCGAATTCGCCGATAAGCTCGAGAAGGAAAGAGATGGTTCTTACTCGGAATTGCGCAAGGTCAAGGGCAAATACGACAGCGTCTGCCAGGAGGTGGAAAGCAGGCGCAAGAAGACGGAGTCGGCATTCGACAAGGCAAAGGCGCAGAGCAACTACCAGCAGCAGATCCTGGAGATGAACAACTTCAAGAACAGCTACTTGATAGCCATCAACGTCACCAACAAGCAGAAGGAGAAGTACTACCACGAATACGTGCCTGAGGTCATGGACAGCCTACAGGACCTATCCGAGTTCAAGACGATGCGGGTGAACGAGCTTTGGACCCTGGCCTCGACGCTCGAGTCCGGACTCTTGAAGTCTAGTGGCGAGCTGATAGAGCACCAGACGCAAGAAATCGCCCGAAACCAGCCGCACCTCGATTCAATGATGTACATGCGCCATAACGTCGGCTCGTGGCAGGAGCCGTCAGACAAAGTTTTCGAGCCGAGCCCGGTCTGGCACGACGACGACACCATGGTTACGGACGAGCCAGCAAAGGTTTATTTGCGCAACGTCTTGAACAAGTCCAAGAGCCAGCTGGGAGATTTGCGCAGGGAGGTGGATAAGAAACGGCGCGAGGTGGAGGGACACAAGAGGGTCAAGCAACGTATCAGGGATGGCACGGAGCAGAAGGACGAGGTGGTGGTGGTGACGATGATCTTTGCGATGCAAGAAGATCTCCACCAGGTCGAACGTAGGAGGACAACAGCCGAGGTCGAAACGTCGACTATCATGGCGGCAGTCGGCGACGTGACGTTGGGGGCCAAGAACCACAACTTCAAGTCGCAGACCTTCAAGATACCGACCAACTGCGATCTTTGCGGCGAGAGGATATGGGGCCTGTCGGCCAAGGGGTTCGACTGCCGAGATTGCGGCTACACATGCCACAGCAAGTGCGAGATGAAGGTTCCCGCCGAGTGCCCGGGAGAGCAGACCAAGGAGGAGCGCAAAAAGCTGAAGCAGGAGAGACAGGAGGCTGCGAACAAGTTGCTGAAGCCCAGCAGCGGAAACCATGCCAAGAAGGCGTCGGTAGACAACGTGGCGGAGCTGCCGGCCTTGACGCGCACAAACACAATGAACTCGCTGAGCTCGGGATACGCGGCTAGTGCTCGTCGTTCAGTGTCGGGCGCCAGGTCTCCGGCACCAGACGACACACCGGTAGCCGAGCTTCCGGCAGCCCCCACGACGCCAGCACCGGCGCCCAAGCCCACAAACACGTTGCGCAAGAACCGGGTTATCGCCCCGCCACCGGCCGCGTACATCAGTGAGCTGCCCGGGAGCGCGGCGCCAAACGGGTCCGGCGGCGGCGCTGCCAAGGCGCCAGAGCAGAAAGGCAAGATGCTCTATTCTTTTGAAGCCAACGATGAAGGCGAGCTTTCGGTGCCAGAAGGGCGGGACCTTGTGATACTTGAGCCAGACAGTGAGTCTTGATGCATTCCATATGCCCTGTCTGGTGCGATAGAGCGTCGTTTACTAACTTGAAGCTTCTGCACAGCTGGGTCTGGATGGATCAAGGTGCGGGCAGGATACAAGGAGGGATTGGTGCCAGCTTCATACGTGGAAGTAGGGCCGGCACCATCGGCGGCGCCAGCGGCACCAGCGATACCAGCGATTTTGCCGCAGAATACAGGACAGTCGGCGAGGCCGTCATCGATATACTCCAACAGCGGGTCCTCGATCGGAGGGCCGGGGACACCGTCTGTCAAGAAGAAGGGGCCGGCGGTGGCGCCGCGGCGAGGGGCAAAGAAGCTCAGGTACGCCGATGTGCTATACGAGTACACGGCGCAGAATGACACGGAGCACAGCATCGTCGAGGGCGAGAGGCTCGTGTTGATCAAGGAGGACCCCGGGGACGGGTGGGCCGAAGTCGAGAAGGGCGGCGTGACCAAAAGCGTCCCAGCCAGCTACATCCAGCCGGTGTAGATATTGCATGTATATTGGGTTTCTTTCGTTTTCTAGTTGCTCTTTTGTGTTTGTGCGTTCATTCATTCAACGAGGCAGTTGCATTCGTGCGGCGTTTGGCATCGGAACATGTTGATACTATATACAGTCAAAAGTCTCCATCAGAGCATCTTGATCCTATATACAGCCAGAAAGCGGACAAAGGCAGTGAGAGATGGGTTCTGTGCCCCCCGTATTGGCCATCTCGCCCGCTCACGTCATTTGGGCGGAGTTTGGATGCCCGCAGGACGCATGGTGTGAGGTGAGACGACGCAGTCCCAAAAATAAAACAAAAAATGCGAAACAGAAAAGAAAAAGGGACGTAGAAGAGCTAAAGGTGAAATCGACAATGGTGCTTCTTGCTCCGTCATCTATCTAAACCAAGGGATGAAAAGCTGGGCAACGTGCCAGTAGAGTTGATATATTTTTGTGATATTCAATATTACTCTTTAATGGGTAGATGTTGTTCTTGTCACCTAGCTGCTTGCAACAGTCCGCGTCCCTGATATAAAGACGGTCGTATTCCTTAAATTTGGTGTATCAATCACTTATTTAGGTAACGTATGGACGGGTGAAGCATTCAAGTCATTATCCGTAGCACCCCGTCGAGTTGAAGCAATAGATTGAGGTTGCGCATGCGGCATTACAGGGCAGTAATCTGAGGGGGTTCCTCCTCCCACAGCGTCGCAGCACTTGAGAGGCACAAGCATCCCGAAATGGCATTGGTCCCACTGGACTGAACGCATCTTGGCACAGGAAGGTGGGAGCGGGTCGTTGTAGAAATTGAGGCGTGGCGAGTGGCTCGATTGGACGGATCAGCATGTCTGTGCCTGTGGGTGCAGCTGCCGTGTCGTGTTGCGTCCGTCCATCTTGAGAGGGGAAAAAAAAACCTGATTCCGTTTTGATCTTTTGTTCCCTCCTGCCTCTGTGCCTCTCTGTTACCTTCTCCCGGCATCCCTGACCACTTTGGTCGGCACAAGATGTTGGCTAGTGCATACTGAACGACGCAAGCCCAGAATTCCAATGTGCTGGCAGGATTGGCTGATTCGCGATCGCCAGTGGACATGTGTGGACTGGGCTGTACTGTGTAACAGTCTGAAACGGGATTTACATTGCGACAGAAGAAAAATAAAATCAAACGCGAGTCTGGGGGCGGACTGGGTTCCTCCCGCGATCTGCGGCGCCACAGCAGCAGACACGGGCTTCTAAGGCCGCAGACGAAGGGGGAGACGACAGGAGGGTTGGCTGGTTTTGCCCAGATTTTTCGGTAATGGCATTTGACTTTGCCACGGTGGGAAAGGGAGGGCAATTCCAGGGGAGATGGAAAAAAAAAAGGGGGGCGAGGCCACTTGGACGGGCGCGCGGCGGCGGTGGCGGCGGCGACTCGCCCAGACAATAGTAGCTACAAACCACAGGGCGAAGGAGGGTGCTAACCGGCAGGCCGACCGTCTCATGCCGGCGCTGCCAAGGTGCCAATCTCAGGCAATCCCTCCTCTCCGGGCGAGCGGTGGGAAGGTTGCGTGGTTGGTTTGGCTGGGCGTGACGCTTCAATGCCCGCCTCGGCCAGAGAGCGAGAGAGCCACTCGTCTTGGGCTTGTCTGGGACTCCGGTCTGGACGAGGCAGTGCTCTTGGCGGGAGGAACCCTTTTTGGTGCATAGTGCGGGTCCGGCTGTCCGTTGTCCGTTGTCCGTTGCGTTCGCGGCGCGTGTGTGTAGCGTTTGTAGCGTACAGTACACAGTAGCGGCTAGTCAAAAACAACAACAACAACAACAGCAACGCCAGTTAGTCTGGGGCCGGGCTGCCAAGGGGGCGGGAAATGGAACAATAAAGGATGGACATCGAAGTGTTCAAAAAGAAGATGGCGGTTTGCTTGGTTTTGCTTGGCTTTCTATCCGGACCACCCAACGGTGTGGCATTCACATCTCGCGTGTGCGAGGCCCGGCTTCTGGGTAGTGCAGGTTCGCACTCCCACAATGAGCAAACGGGGAAGGGGGAATAAAATGCCACTGGCGAAATTGATTAAAATTAGCCCGCCACGGTGCGGTGCACAGTACATGGTGCAGGGGCAGGCGTAAGTGTCGCGGGGGCAGGTCGCACTGTCATTGCCCGTCATGCGTTCGGTGACTGGCCGCCGCCACTGGGGACAGCACCTGGCGCGGAGGGTGCGGGTACCTGTTGGCGCCAGCGAGGGCTGCGGCCAAGCAGGAGGTACCTGCCCGCGAGGTCTTGGGAGCGGTCTTGGAAGGTGTGGGTGCTCCACCAATGCGGCGCCTTGGATGGGGCTGCCGTCGGAATCGATACGAGCCTACCAGGCTGGGCTTGCTTGGGCATGCTCACGCCCTGTTTGGGGCAGCTGTGCCTGCTTTGTTGCCAGTCTTGGCTGTTGATTCAAAACTCGCGTCGTTTAGCCCTGTTTCCCACCCCCTTCTCTCCCTTTCCTTCCACCAGGCGCATCCCTTCAAACGCTCAGCTACCACCCGCTAACTTGCTTCGTCCACCCACCCCGTCGACTCGCTCGTTTATGTCGACTTTCTTCTCTCTCAACTGCTCCTCTTTTTCGAATACTCATTTTTTTGTAATCACTCTTGTTTCTTAACAACCCACGCTCTTTCGAGATCCAGATCGCGATCGCTTTAACCCACCCCCACCTGTTTCCTTACTCCCACCCTTTTTGATCCGTCCAAAAGCAACAACAGTCACCATGAAGTCGGCAGTGCTCACGTCCCTCATCGGGGCTGCCTCGCTGGCCTCGGCCTCGCCCGCGGTTGAGAAGCGCCAGAATAGCAAGGTCCCCCACATCGTGGTCCGCGGCAACGCCTTCTTCGCTGGCAACGACCGCTTCTTCGTCCGCGGTATCGACTACCAGCCCGGCGGCTCGTCAGAGAACAAGGACCCCCTTGCCGACACCAAGGTCTGCCTGCGCGACCTGGAGAAGTTCAAGAAGCTTGGTGTCAACACGGTCCGCGTCTACTCGACCGACAACTCCAAGGACCACAAGGCGTGCATGGACGCCTACGCCGCGGCCGGAATCTACCTGCTGCTCGACATCAACAACCCCATGTACTCCATCAACCGCGACAAGCCCGACCCGTCGTACAACGCCGAGTACCTGCAGAGCGTCTTCGCCTACATCGACGAGTTCGCCCGCTACGACAACACCATGGCCTTCTTCTCGGCCAATGAGGTTGTGCACGGCTCGGCCAACACCTCGCTGGCTGCCCGCCACGTCAAGGCCACGACGCGCGACATCAAGAGCTACATGGCCAAGCGCGGCCTGCGCCAGGTCCCCATCGGCTACTCGGCCGCCGACGTCTCAGAGAACCGTATGCAGCAGGCCCAGTACTTCAACTGCGGCACTGACGACGAGCGCAGCGACTTCTTCGCCTTCGTAAGAACTACCTACATAGCCCCTGAACACATTGTTGGCGCAAGTCCAAGGAGCAAACTGCTAACATTACCCCGCAGAACGACTACTCGTGGTGCACGTCCGACTTCAAGACTTCGGGCTGGGACAAGAAGGTCGAGTCCTTCAAGGATTACGGCATGCCCATCTTCCTGTCCGAGTACGGCTGCAACGAGAACAAGCGTAACTTTGGCGAGCTCAAGGCCCTGATGAGCCCCGACATGACTGGTGTCTACTCGGGCGGTCTCATGTACGAGTACACGTACGAGGCCAACAAGTACGGCATCGTCAAGCTCAACGGCGACAATGTTGAGGAGTTGGAGGAGTTCGCCGCCTTCCAGAAGGCTATGAAGGACTTCCCGGCCCCCACCGGCCTCGCCGGCGCCTCGACCTCGCAGAAGACCAGCAAGTGCCCTGCTAAGGACCAGTACTGGCACATTGAGACTACGTCGCTGCCCGCCTTCCCTAAGGACGCTCAGAAGTACCTGGACAACGGTGCCGGCAAGGGCCCTGGCCTGAACGGTCGCGGCTCGCAGAACTCTGGCCCCGCCAAGGTCGAGGAGGCCAACCCCGGCTCGGGTCTCGGTGGTCCCGCTAACGACTCGAACGATAAGACGGGCAACAGCAAGAGCGCCGGCGCCTCGACTGGCGTGTCGTTCTTCATGGCCGCCTCGGCCCTGACCGTCTCGGTCGGCGCCCTGTTCCTGTAAACGGTTGCAAGGCGATGTGTGGGCATGAGAGAGAGGGGGTGATTGGGGTCTCCCACCCGTGGAATAGGAACGACGATCAAGGATACCCGAAACGAACATTTCTGGAGTGGAACAAAACCCGTGGCTTTTGAAAATGCCGTTCAAGAGGCATCCGAGCTGGCCCGTACCCCCCATCCCCATGGCGCGGCAGGCGTTTGTGTATAAAGCAAATTTTTTTTGTCATTTGGATCTCATCAGCAGAGCGCCCTTGTCCTTCCACGAGGCGAGAGGCACACAGGAACAAGAGTCTGCTTTTCTTCCACGTTTTGTTTTCTGGCGCATTGCATCATCACGTCGTTTTTATAACAAGACAAACTTTTAATGTTCGTGCTTGGTCCTGCGCCCGTGACGTTGACTGGTAGGGCCCGCGGGCATGTAGTAGAGGTGGCTGGCCCCTGTGATTATCAGACTGGACTTGGGGCGTCGTTGTCGTCGTTGGCTGGCTTCAGGCAGCCTGACAGCTCGTTCATTGCAGACGGGATCGGGCTTGTGCATATCTCGGGCACTAGTAGTGCACCGCCCTGCAGCCTTTGACGTCGGACGAGGTCTATGACGGTGCTGTGACATTTTTGCAGTGAATTGCAAACAAATACATGAGCTGGCGCCATTGTCCCAGGTGACTTTGAACGAGGAAAACATATTACAAAGCGTCAGGGAAGACATTCACCATGTCCTACCCGGCCGCTGCCAGTCCCCGCCATCCCCGTCGGAGCCGTCGTCATCCGAGCGCGCGCCGTCGTCCATCCCCAGGACGTGATCGGACGCTCGGCGCCGCTCCCCCGGCCGACGCGACCCGTGTCCGCCGTCACCATAGCTTCTCCGGCGGCGAAGCGACGACACATTGCCGCCCCTCTCCTCATCCCCCGGCCGCCGCCGCACAGCCGCCATCCCGTGCAGGCTCTCGACGGTGGACCTGGCTGAGTGCAGCGATGGTGCTGTGTGCTCCCCCAGGCCGACGACCGCGGCGGCGGGGCCGAGCCTGTCACGGGCCATGGTGTCCAGCTTGTCGAACCGCCCGGGCGCCGTGGCCAGCAGCTTGACGGGCGGGCCGCCGTGGCCGCCGGCGCACAGGCCGAACAGGTATTGGGCGACCTGGGCGACGTCGCGGTGCCAGCCGCCGATCTCCGTCTCGTACGCCGCGGCGTCGTCCAGGACGATGTAGAGCGGCGCGTCGGGGGACAGCTGCCGGACGAGCGTCTTGAACGTGTAGAGCAGCGCCGCCAGCTGCCGCCGCCGGTCCTTGAGGTCGCCGTCGTCGGAGCCGCCGGGGCCGTCCGAGTCTTCGCCCTCGCCATACTCATCAGAAATCTGGGGCGGAGCCGGCAGAGGCCGCCGCCGGCCATAAACGCCGTTGAGCACCAGCCCGTCGTCGCCGCACAGATCTGGCCACAGCCGGTCGTTCCGCCGCAGGAAGTCCAGCCGCGGGTACCGCGCGCCGCCGCGCCACCGCATCCGCTGCGTCAGGAGCTGGCCCAGCAGGCTCCTGGCGAGCGCGAGCGGCCCGCCGAGCTCCCCGCCGTCCCGGGCCAGCCTGCAGGCGAAGAAGAGCACGCCGCCGCCGCCGCCGCCCGCGTCGTGGAGGCTGGCGGCGAGCGCGGCGCAAAACACCGACAGCGGCGACACGGAGCCCTGCACGTCGTCGAGGGCGTGGCCCTCGACGAGGAGGGCGGCGGGGGAGGCGTGGCTGATCCACCGCTTGAACGCGGGCGTGCTGAGGAGGTAGTAGGCACGCCCCAGCGCGCCCTCGCCGAACTGGGCGCCCTTGCTGACCAGCGAACGCATTTGCTGCATGGGAAGCCAGTGGCCCCGGTGGCCCCGGTGGCTGGCGATGGCGTTGATGAGGTCCATCTGGTGGACGTGGTGTAGGATGACGGGGGCTGCCGGGGACTTGGACGACCACCCGACGCGTCTCGGGGACGCGGAATCAGACCTGTGGGGGCAGGATCCTGCGGGTCTGTCAGCGGTCAGTGTCTAGGAGGAGCCAGGGTGGGCAACCGCACCGGCGATGCATGTTTTGCGGCTCTGCTCGGCCAGGAACCGATCAGCTACAGTGACGACTCTCGCCATCAGTTCATTCGTCTCCCTTACGCCCTTGTCAGTCGCCTCGAGTTTTTGTCTAAGCTCTTCCCACCCTCTTTCGTGGCTCTCTACCAGCTGGTTGACAGCCGCATTCGTCTCGGCCGCGTTCTTGTAGTTTAACAGCTGCACACACTCGTCGAGATCTGCGACTGCTTTGTTGATCGGTTCCACGAGAGAGTCGACCTTCTTTACTGGGTCTCCAAAGATGTCATCGCGTCTGGCCACGAGCGTCTTCGTCACCTTTGAAAACATGGTCTTTCCGTTGGCTGTCGACGGGAGATTGTTAGTTTTTCTTTGCTGGTTGTGGCCACGTGCAACAAATCCTCACGAGTGCCCAAATGAAGCTAACCTGGTCTCCCCTGGCCATCCTTTTTTTGCCGCAGGAGGATGTCGATGAGGTCCGGTATGGATTGGAATAGCGCCTTGTATAGCGCCTGGAGCCGAAGGTCAAGTCTTGGCTCGTTCTCGTAGATCAGTTTGAGGTCTCGCGCTTTTTCTAGCAGCGACGGCACCGAAGAAAAACACTTGAAAATCCTCTGGCACGCGTCCGATCTCCTCTTGACCGCCTGAAGAATCACGAAGAGGTGGGATTTGGGTCAGCGCAGCTGCTTCGTTCGGCGTAGAGTTGCACCTACGTTGAAGATGACGGCCAGCCCGGCCTTCAGGATCCCCAGGCCGTTGTCGGTGGGTATGCAGTCCAAGACCGTCGTCAGATTGTGCTGGAAGCCGCTGCTGGACCGGGGCCGGAGCTGGACCGCGCCTATCTTCCCCTTTTGTTCGTACTCCCGCTGGGCATTGTCCATCTCGCTGAGGACCTTCTCCCATGAGCATGACGCAGGCTCTAGGTCAAATGGATGCTGAGTGACGTAGGAGCTTATCGCATCGTTCATTGCCCTATGTTCTCGACAGCTCAGCTTAGTTCGTATCTTGGTCTCGTCGCCTCTGGCCCAAGTGCTCACCTCACGCCATCGCTAGGGATGTAGGCTACGAGCTGCTTGCTGTAACGAAGATCGGGGACAGCGAGGCCGGGGGATACGGCCTTGCCCTGCCCAAAACTCAAAGCATTGAACACCTGGCATTCCGCTAGGTCATTCATGGCCTCGACGAGCGACCCTGGTAGATTGCCCTCGAGTTCCATAGTGGGCCAATCTTGTACACTGCGATCGTTGGGTTGCAGAGCCCTTTGGAAGTCAAGTTTGAGAAATGGTGTAGGCCGCCGAGTCCTTCTTGTGCGCGCGTCTCGCAAGGACGGCTCGGGGGGGAGGGGCGGACGCTTATGCCCGAGGGAGTGATAAATTACCGAAGACTACAGCCACCGGGCCGATAGTGCAGTATACGAGCGAGGGGGCCAAGGAGTGATTGGTTACAGATGGGAGAGGGGTTGGCTGAAAAAAAAAGCCAGTGCCGGATAGTAATCCATCCAGGAGAACTCGCTGGACTGATGGTGGCTGATGGCGGATGGCTACACGGCTGCTGTCTGCCAATACATCCGCTGTATTAAACGCGCGCTGGGCAGCCTGCCTGTTTCAGGGAGTATTAGGGAATGGCGGCGGACGCACTCTAGTGGCCACACTGCAGTAGAAGAGGGTGTCCAGGCCGTGATATCGCAACACTTTGTAGGCAGGCTGCGTAGATAATTCCCCCTATTGGGCAGGCCATGCAGACTACTGCCACCTATCGGACAGGCAAATATAGACGAATCCCCCCCTATTGGGCGGGCTGGGAGCGGCTACTGCCGTCAGCTCCCCCGAGTGATCCTGGCAGGGGAGGGAAGGCTGAGGAGCTCGAGGCCCAAGGGAGTGAGATACGATAGCTGGCAAACATTGATGGTTCCCTCTATCCAGCACCTTCCCCGCCCCATCTCAGTTACCTATATGGCTACTAGCTATATATTCGACACTCCCAGCGCCTGTACTATGTAATGTTTGAATAGCAGCAGCTGCCATGGCTTCCACTTCCATTACTCTGTTGAACAGCCAGTCCAGGTCTTACCCGATTGCATCTTCTCGGGTTAGCATCAAGCCAAGCCTAACAATGGCTGTCGTAGAAGAAAGCACCTTGAACGAGCCAGTTGGAGGTGACAAAAACGACCGAGACGGAGCCGACGCCGCTGAGAAGGGCGACGCTCAATCCGGGGAGCCAGCGTCTGGTGCGCCCAAAGAACAACCACCTCAAGCATCCAAAGAGCCAGCCTCTGAGGAATCCAAAGAGGAAGCAGCCGGAGCTTCCCAAGGGACACCAGCCTCTGAGCAGCCCTCCGGGGCCAAGGCAGACGATGAGGGGCTCGAAGAGGGAGAGGATAAGCTCTATCTCGACACTATTCCGTCGGTCCGGCGGTGTGGCTGGATCGACTTCAAGAACCGGTTCCAAAGCGTCGGCGGCGGGCGGGAGCACGCCGTCGACGTCCTCAACACGAGCGCCGACCTCGAGGAGCAGATGGACCAGGAGCACCTGAGGCGCATGACGCCCGCCAAGCAGGAGGCCTACCGGGCGGCCTGGCAGAAGCCCGTCCAGCGCCGCCACGCGGGCACCAGCACGAGCGAGCTGACGTTTGAGCGCGTCCGCATCAACTCGAGCATCGTGCTCTCGTACCTGGCCGACGTGAGCGACAACCAGTCGTGGCCCATGCAGCCGCACACCTTCCTGTTGCCCTTTGCCTTCCTCATCCACCACCACCAGGCCATGAATGACAAGCTGGATCGGCTCAGGGAGGAGTTCGGCACGCCGGAGCCGACGGCGGCGACGGGGGCGGCGCCACCCGGCGAGCAGCTGTCCGGCGTCATGACCAAGGACGAGACCCTCGCTGCTGCCAAGAAGTCGCACAAGGCGTACCAGGACATGAAGTGCTACGTGGACTTTGTGGCCGGCAACCTGATGCCGCACTACAACCGGTTCAAGGACGTGAATTACAAGAAGCCCAAGAAGATCAGGTTCGAAGACCTCTGGAGCCTGTTCCGCTACGGCGAGCTGGTCTGCTATCCCAACCGCCCCGACGCCGAGGACGCTCCGGAGAGCAAGGCGAGACGCGTCCGGTCCGAGCAGGGAGGCGACGCGCCCAAGCAGCCCTCCGGCGACATGGCGTCAGGGCCGGCGACGGCCGCCATCGCATCGGTGGACACGCACACCATTCTTCGCGTCAAATTCATATTCATGCCCATGGTCGATGATGAGTCCGCCAAGTCATCCGACAGGCCAGCCTCGCTTCGCTCAACAGATGGCGATCGCGCCGTCATCATGGCCTTCTATCTCGACCACGACGGCACCAGGTACGGAATGATACAGCACGACATCTATATCAATTACTTCCGTGGAGAGATGGATATCCACAAACTTCCCGTCTTTCCAGTCCGGTTTCTCAAGAACAAGGATGCGCTCTTCGATCAGCTGCTTAAGCGAGGGAAGAAATTCAAAGGACTGCTTGAGCAGTCCCGCAGCGGGCGAGAAATGCTCATTCACGACGGCTGGTCCTTGACGAGGACTCCGCTTGGGGCTCCAGTGCCGCAGCCGCCGTGGGGCTGTGACACGGTTGCCTCCAGGCGGAGGGTCCTGCAGTCGGAGTACCTGGATACCGAGATCATCATCGATTTCAAGGAGGCCTTCCAGAACATACCGTCCTGGAAGCCCAACTTCAGGCTCTACAACAAGGAGAGCGCCACCCCCAGCGTCATGTACGACAGTTGCGCTATCTACTGCTGGGAGGACGAGAGGCGGTCTGGGAAGCCCAGACAGGCCAGGGAAATCCTCGTGACGAGCGACAATGTGGACATTGACGAGTGGAACAGCCTCGCCAAGAGAGACCCGTTCATCGACGACCCCCAGGGTGAGAGGGGCCACACCATCATCGGGGACGAGCAGGTGTTCAGGGAGGAGGATCTGATGCTGCTCCCCGCCAGGGTTATGGCGTACTCGCTGCGGGACCGCAAATTCTTCCAGGCCGACGTCGAGAACATCAAGAAGAAGGACTGGCCGGAGCAGGACGAGGACCCGTTCCACGAGCTGCGTATCAAGGAGGGACACAAGGAGGTGATTAAGGCGCTCGTCGAGGAGCATTTTGACAAGAAGAGGCACCAGGAGCTGCCGGACCAGGACTTGATCAGGGGCAAGGGCAAGGGCCTCGTGATGCTGCTGCATGGCGCGCCGGGGGTGGGCAAGACGATGACGGCAGAGGCCATCGCCCAGACGCATAGGAGGCCCCTTTTCTTTATCACCTGCGGCGACCTCGGCGTGACCCCAGACACGGTCGAGGATCGTCTCAAGGACATCTTCCGCCTAGCTAACAGGTGGGACTGCATCCTGCTGCTGGACGAGGCCGAGATCTTCCTGTCCCAGCGGATGAGAGGGGACGGGAGCATCCAGAGGAACGCCATGGTGTCGGGTAAGTCGAATTTCTGCCTTGACAAAAACACACACACACACACACACACACACACACCTGAACAGCGCTGACGCCGACGACCAGTCTTCCTCCGGATCCTCGAGTACTACCCCGGTATACTGTTCCTGACGACGAACAGGGTCGGCACCATGGACGAGGCGGTCAAATCACGCGTGCACGTCAGTCTGCACTACCCGGGCCTCGGCAGGGACGAGACCCTACAGCTCTTCAAGATGAACATCAAGCGGCTCAAGAAAATCGAGGGGATCAGGGCCTTGGACCGGAACCAGCGCTCCGGGGCCGGGGCTGGAGCCGTGGACGGGAGCGGCGGCGGCGGCGGCGGCGGGCCCGTAGCCGAAATGGACGTGCGAGAAAAGGAGATCATGAGGTTCGCCGGCGAGCACTACGACCACAACCCCCCCGCGGTGCGATGGAACGGGCGCCAGATCCGCAACGCCTTCCAGATCGCGGCCTCGCTGGCGCACAACAAGCGACGCGAGCGGGACAACATGGACGAGAAGCGCCGCGACGCTGGTGGTGGTGGTGGCGGTACCGTCAAGGACGACGACGACGGGACCTTCATCGGCAGGACGCACTTCCGGCGCGTCCAAAAGATCACGGCCGAGTTTGACACCATGAGAGCTGAGATCTTGAAGAAGACGGACGCGGAGGGCGCCCGGGACAGAGAGGAGCGCGTGGACCCCCGCTCGCCTAGCCGCCCCCGACGCCACGACCAGGACCACAAGCGGGGAGGAGGAGGAGGAGGAGGAGGGGGAGGAGGCCGCTACTATTCCGAGTCCAAGGACTACCGGAGCCAGGGAAAGCAGTATCACGAGGACGGGTACTACGACGATGAGAAGAGGGACGCGTACAAGTACGGGGGCGGCGGCAGAGACTATGGCTACGATGACGACGACTACGGCGACGACTACGGCGACGACAGGCGCGAGAGGAGGGACGACGGCTACTCGCGCCGACGCACCGACCACTACTCTCCGGAGCCCCGCGGCTCGCGCCGCTCGGGCTATGGAGGAAACGCGCGCGACGACTGGGACCGCGACCGCGATCGCGGGGGCGATCTGGGCTCGAGGAAGCAGCAGCGGGCCCGGTCGCGGTCCGGCTCCCGTTCCCGTTCCCGGGACGCCGGGACGCAGCAGCAGCAGCGCAAGGCGGGCAAGTCCTCGGGCGGCGGCGGAGGCGGCGCGCCGGCGGCCGATGACGCGGGCGACAAGTCCAGGGACCGGTCGCGGGCGCGGGGCGGCGGTGGGGATTCGGAGACGGCGGGCCGGCGTCGGGGGGGGGGATGGGAGGAGGCGCGGGGCCGACGGGGAGGGAGAGCGTCAGTTTGGGGACGAGCCGGAGAGGAGGCGCCGGTAAATTCGTGCGTGCGTGGGACCTTTTGACATTGGTTTCGGGCTGCGCGGTAGACCCATGCGAGATACGGACCGAGGGGGATCAAGTATCTTGCTTTATATCTATCTACTTTTATAAAGTATTCGTTTGCGTTGAACCCCTGTGCGCCATAACAACCTTTCCGGACCTTTCGAAACGACGCCGGTTATGAATATGGGTACTTCTTGCTGAGAAAGATATCAATGTTATTTCACCCCAAACCAAACTATAAACTCTTTTCTCATGTTGCCTTTTTTTTTGTGTCAGTCTGTTAATATGGATCGAGTCAAAATGTTAATGACAACAGCAAGTCGTTTCCTTCTTACTGCGCATTAATATGAACACTAGGGGTTCCTGGCTCGTATCCAGCTTAAAGCCTATTCTAGAAGTCGCCCATACATTGTAGAAGAGAAAAACAGATAAAGTCTGTCCTTAAGCAAGCCGAATCGCGCGGCGTCGTATAAAAAAAACAGCATGGTAACTTTAGAACTATGTACAATTCAAACCTGAACCGCACTCTATCTTCATTACCCAACATCCATCTGCCAAGTTTAAAGGCCATCCAAACGCTAAATACAAGAATAAAATGCCCCGTCACCACCCGCCAACCCCAAACGCGGAACAAGCCAAAACGCCAGCGACGACGACCAGCCCCGGCGACGACCACCGACCCAGCAGCCACGGCGCGAGGCCGAGCAGCCAGACCGGCAGCCGTCCACCGTAATCACCACATCCACGCCCGGGGCCGGCCCTCGCCGCGGCGCTGTCCTAGGCTCCCAGACCGGGCAGGTCGGAGCGGCGGAGGTAGGCGGCGACGACGGCGCCCCAGGATCCTGGGTTGTTGAACTGGGAGGCGGTGACGGCGCCGTCGTCGTAGACGAGGTTGGTGGTGGACTTTGAGCTGAGCGTGTACCAAAAGGTGGAGCGCGAGCGCTCGGCGTAGGCCATGTTGAGCTGGCAGGTCGAGCCCGTACGCTCGCACTGCGGGTCCTGCCAGGCGTTGTCGTTCATCTTGTTGAAGAAGGACCAGAGCGCCGAGCCGTGCACTACCATCTGGGAGCTGCCAACCATGTGGTGGCCCCACTAGAGTGTGTGTGTTAGTTCGGGAGTGTCTTCCGGGTCGTTATAGTCTAGGGGGGTGGATAACCTACTGCGCGATAGCACTGGTCGTTGTTGGCGGCGTTCTGGGCTGCGCAGTTGGCAAAGGTCGGGTCCCCGTACCTCGAGTCGGCGCTGGACATGGGGAAGAGGTCAGTCAGTAGTTGTTTTCACAAGATGTGTTTTCAAGCAGGCAGGAAAGCAAGTAAACTCACGTCCACGGCCCTGGAGCCCGCCGCGGCGTCCCCTGCCCCTGCCAGTACGGCGCCTCGGTCTGCTCGAGGCTGGCGTAGACGTTGGAGGCGCCGACGTACGAGTACTGGTACAGGACGCAGTGCTCAAACGACGTGCCGACCAGCCACGTGCCGCCCTGGGCGCCGCTGCTCTCGACCAGCACGCCGCGGCCGACGGCGATGTTCTGCGCCGGCAGGTTCGGGTCGAGCCCGTGGTCGGCCACCCAGCCCCAGACGCCCTCGAAGTAGGCCGACGCCGTCTTGGCCACGTGCAGCAGCGCAAAGGCGGCCTTGCAGCCGATGGGGTCGGCGCCGGCGCACTTGGAGCTGACCTGCGTGTCGACGGAGCCGCCGGCGCGGTAGACGACGTTCCACATGCCCACGTCACCCGGCCGGTCGCCCGCCATGTTGACCTGGGCCAGGATGGCGCCGGGGAGCACGTCGGCGGCCGAGACGAGCAGGTCGCTCAGCTGCGCGACGCCGCGCTCGCCGGGCCGGCCGACCATGACGACGGGCTGGGGGTTGGCCGCGTCGGCGAAGCGCGGGCCCGAGCCCGAGATGGTGCTGAAGACCTCGCCGACTATGCGCGAGCCGGGCGGGACGTAGATGGCCTCCTTTGTCAGGTAGATGCCCTGTGGGAAGAAGATGATCTTGCAGCCGGCGTGCTTCCTCAGGATGGCGTTGATGGCGGGCCCGTCGTCGTGGACGTTGTCGCCGACCACGCTAAACTCGGGGTCGCCTTTGATGCTGACGAACTGATCGAGCGCGTACTTTTCGTACTGCGGGATCGCCATGGTGAAGTACTTGCCGCCCGAGACGAGGGCGGACGGGCGGCGGATGGGGTAGGTCGTGCCGGGCTGGTAGTTCTGCGGGTTGGCGTTGCCCATGACCCAGGTCTCGCCCTCGGGCACCGACGGCCCGCGCAGCGTGCGCCCGTCGCCCGCGGCCACGACGGCCACGGAACCGCCGGCGACGCGCAGGTTGTCGAGCACGAGCGAGCCCTGGCCGTTGCCGCTGACGTGGGCGTTGACGGCGGCGTGGCACGAGTTGACCGACGAGTCGACGAGCGACAGGGCGCCCGTCTTGCCGGCCTCGCCCATGTCGATGCCGTACTGGCAGTTGCTGAAGGACACGTCCTGCACCACAGCTACAAACACGTGCTGGACCGAGATGCCTACGGTGCAGCGGTCGAACCGGAGGCCCTTGAACTGGTACTGCTGCGAGTTGAGCCGGATGCCGACGGCGCCGCCCTCGAAGACCGAGTCGGAGATGATGATGCCCGACCCGCCCTCCTTCATGGTCATGCCGATGTGCTTGGAAAAGTTGGGCATGACGACGTGCACGTTGCTGAAGCTGGTGCCCTGCGAGACGGACCACTCGATGGCGACGGCGGCCTTGTCGGTGGCGATCTCGGTGGTGTCGACCTTGAAGTTCCGTAGCGTCATGTAGAAGTTCTTGGTCGGGCTGCCCTCGCCCTGCCACCGGTCGTAGCCGTTGATGACGGGCCGCTCGCCCAGCTCCGGGTCCGCGATCAGGGTGGGCGGGTTCAGGGGGTCGCCGACCAGGAAGGTGTAGACGTACATCTGGATGGGCTTCTTGATGCGGTAGCGGCCCGGCGGGATGTAGATGTAGGCCGGCCTGGTCGTGACCGTGTTGCCCTCCCTCGACCAGGCGTTGATGGCGAAGTTGAAGGCGTCGGACGCGTCCCCGGCGCCCGTGTTGTCGGCGCCATACTGCACCACGGTCCGGTAGTACTGGAACGTCGGGTCGGTGCTGGTGGGCGCCGTGCCGTTGTGGCCGATCTGGGCCCTCCACCAAGTGGACGGGTTGCTGGCCACGGGGCCCGAGCATTGCTGCTGGCGCGCCTCGACGGTGACCTTGGCGGCGTCGTCGGGGAGGGCCAGGCTGGCTACCGTCCTTGCGCCGGCCAGGAGCGCGCTGGCAAAGATGGCGGCGGTCCTCATGGTTGCAGATGTAGAGGTGGACTCCCTAGGTCAGGTACCTGTCTGGGCAAGAACACGCGCGAGTGAGGGAGGGCATCGCGAGATGTGCTTTATATTACAAGCAGGACCACTGCTTGGTTTGCGGCCAAGGATCTAGATCCAGATCCCAAGGGGCTCCCCCGCCAGACGCCAGCAGGGGCCCAGGTAGGCAGCCGCAATTGAAGCGCTCCACTGCAGGGACTGATCCCCCCTCGTGGGCGCGGCATGTCGACGGGCCGAAGAGGGAACATCTGGAACTCGAGGGCGTGCGAATCGTTTCGCGAGAAAATACGACATCGGGTCGCTTAGCTGGGCTAGCTCGCTGCATCTGGCACAATGCGCTGACTGTGCACCCCACACCCCACTCCAGGCAGAAGCCAATTTAAAGCAGGAGCGGATCTCGTTGGAGTGATACAAGCAAATGGGAAAGAATGAAAAAAAAAAAATCCTAAGTCGACGAAAACTGTCGTCGAAACCAGCTGACCGCCTGGTCCTCCGCCTTGAGCCCCAACTCCGCCTGCCGGGGGTCGGCCGGGTTGCCGCGGACGGCAAAACCGTGGATGGCGCCCTCGTAGACCACCACCTCGTGCACTCTGCCGCCGCCGTCGCCGCCCCCTGACCCGTCCCGCACCACCCCCTCCAGCACCCTCTTGAGCGTCGCCATCTTGTCGCGGCCCATGAAGGCGTCGTTGTCGCCGTTGGCCACGCTCAGCGGCACCCGCACCCGCTCGAGCGCGTCGGGGATCTTGACCATGGACGGGTGCGCCGTGAAGCCGCAGTCCACCAGCGACCGCCCGTCCTCGGCCTCGGCGCCGCACAGGTCGATGGCGTGCCGCCCGCCCCAGCAGAAGCCCACCACGCCGACCTTGCCGTTTGGAGGTGCTGCTGCTGCGGCTATCGTCGTCGGGGAGGAGGAGGAGGAGGAGGAGGCGGCGGCGCGGCGGAGGGCCTGGAAAAAGGCGTGCACCCGGGGCGTCGTGACGGAGCCGCGGATGCGCAACAGCCGCGGCACGAAAATGGCCACCAGCTGCAGCGCCAGCCACGGCTTCTGTATCAGCGCCGCCCACCACGACGGGCTGGGCTTCTCGATCTTGTCTAGGAGCGCGAGGCTGTATGCCGGCGGGGCGGCGCCTATCGTTGTCGTCGTCGTCGTCGTCGTCGTTGCAGGGTCAGCTTAGGGTATTTTCTCTGCCGCAAGTGACGGCTGGTGGCCGAGAGGTGATTGATAAGCAAACGTGACCCAAAAAGACACACCGTCCATAAAGTCCGGGAGATAGACCACAAAGGGACCCCTGCGGGCGTACGAGTCGGCCAGCGCCCGCGTGTTGAGCAGCTCCCAGCCAAAGACGTCCGGCACGATGACCACCAGCCCCAGCGGCTCGCCTTGGCTGCTCGGGTCGGGGCGGGCGACGTAGGTCGGCAGGCCGTGGATGGTCTCCACTGTCCCCGTCGGCTGCGCATCGCCCCGGAGCGTGCCCTTGAAGCAATCCTGACAGAAACCGCCGAGTGCCATCTGAGCTGGAGGATCTTGTTCTGGGTTTTTTTTTCTGGTTTTTGATTGCGTCAAGTTGCGCAGCAGTAGAGAGAAACAAAGTAATTCCGAGCGTTCCGGGGGCACTTGGCGCCTTTGTAGTTGCACCACATCACATGTGCTCAACCTCTGACTGCTGACCCGCACGGCCGCCAGTGTCGCATTTGATAGCATTCTCCCTCCGTTTTTCCCTCCCTCCAAGCTCGCCCAATCGGCCCATCCGGCACCCCCTCCAAACTGAACCCAAACCCATCCAGTTCGGATACAATCATCTCCTCTTGCTTTTATCTGTGCGTCTCTCACTCGAGGTGGGCGCTTGTTATTGGCTGCATCGTCAGAGACCGGCCCCAATCCAGCTGCCGGATTCGGCATAGCATACCAAATTCCTGAGCACGGAAGAAATTTGATACTGATAATTCGCACTCCGGGCCTAGTCTCGACAGCTTCAGAAGCCTGTCGGCCAAACTAGTAGCTGGCAAAGAATATCCGGAGCAAGCGACATCCTCCGAGTTGAAACTCGGACCTAAAACCCTGACGCTAGGACCTATCCAAAAGAACACCGTCATCAAGGACTGGAAGGCGCCGCCGAAAAACATGGTCAGATTCTGAAGTCCCTCTCCTGGCTTGCATACGCAAGCCCCCTGTTTACGTGCATATGCACGCCCGTGCAGGAAATGATGCCTCTTGACACACGGGAATAACCGGAAAATAGGTTCACGCCGACGCCTCCAACTTCGCCCCGGGCGTCACCAAGGACGAGGCTTACCGCCAAGTCCTGGAGCAGGCCGAGGCCCTGTTCGAAGGCCAGAGGAACTGGGTAAGGGCTGCATTTCGTGTTTCGTCAGCACATCTTAACCGGCACGCTAACCGCCCAAAAAACGCAACCCCCAACATAGGTCTGGTAAGATGCAGTCTTTAATGCCGCACCTAATCCATTGCCGTCAACTCACACAATACGGGGGGACCCTAGCAACCTCTCCAACACGGCCGCCCTCCTGTGGCACGCCTACAAGTCCCTGCCGGCACCGAGCAGCGCCGTCAACTGGGCCGGCTTCTACACCCTGGACCCGAGGCCGGGCCCGGGCGGCCGGCCGCGGCTGATCCTCGGCCCGTTCCAGGGCAAGGTGGCGTGCCAGACCATCGCCTTCGGCCGCGGCGTGTGCGGCGCCGCCGCCGAGACGCGCGCCGCCCAGCTGGTGCCCGACGTCGACGCCTTCCCGGGCCACATCGCCTGCGACTCGGAGAGCCGGAGCGAGGTGGTCGTGCCCGTCGTCGTCGTCGCGCCCGAGGACGGCGGCGGCGGCGGCAAGGTGGTGGCCATCATCGACGTCGACTGCGCCGAGCCCGGCGGCTTCGACGACGTCGACCGCGTCTGGCTCGAGAAGCTGGCGGGGCTTATTGCGAGGAGTTGTGACTGGTAGCCCATGGGGGATGGATGCATGTTCCTATAGGCTGGGATATTTTTCTATTTCTTCACCCTTCCTCGAGTCACCCAAGTCCATCACTAGCAACATTGGGTTTGCGGAGACATGACCTTGTGTTGCGTTGATTACCATCAGGGGGTCGCAAGGAAAAGTGATAGTCTGCAGCAGAACGGACCGGGAATTCGTGAGACCATGGGCCTTTGCACAAGAATCAAGGCGAAGCTCTGGCAGCGCCGCGATGCGGTCCCTGCTCCCTTCGCTGTGGTAAAAGACAGCTGGCTCATTGTGGGTCGTTCGTTTGGTATTTGCGCATTCTTTGGCATCGCGACTTTTCTCGGCTTAAATAAAAGACTATAGACTACAGTGCATAACCCTTTTCGGTCCCAAAATCTCATCAGCCTGCGATTTCCCAAGAATCAATATGGCCAAACCCTAAGGATAAAGAGGCCTGGGCAGTTGCAGGAAGAAACTCTCGCTCCCCTAGAAAAATCGCAACAAATCCTGATATTACACCGCGGTGACACGTGGGTTCACCCCGTCAAGTTCGCACCCGGTCCTACTCCCCATCGTGGCATATACAACAGTGCGCCAGACTTGGGCTTTTAGCGCTTGCGCTGCTTCTTCTTTCCGCGGTCCTCTTCCTCTTCCTCGTCCATCCCGCTCTCGCGGTCTTTCCTCTTGGCCTTGCGCTCGAGCTCGTCCCAGCTCTCGCCCTCTTCGTCGTCTTCTTCGCTTCCCTCCTCGCTCGCGTCGTCGGATGCGTTGGAATCGTACTCGGAGTCCTCCTCGCTACTCTCCGAAGCCTCCTCCAGTTCGGATTCGCTGATCTCAAACGCGCTCTCCTGGTCGTCCTCGTCCGCATCGCCCTCGTCGTCCGAATCCGCCTGAAGGAACGACCAACCGCCATCGACAAAGAACTGGTGTGTATCCGACGTCACCGTCTTCATGATGGTAGGCCAGTTGAGGTTGAGTGGGCCCTCGGTATAGGCAATATCCGACTGGTCCAGGAATTCCTTGACATCCTCGAGGGACTCTACGGGAATCGTGTTGACGTGTGTCGGCGCGCGGGTGAAGTCCTTGAAAACAAACACAAGATCAAAGTTCTTGAGGCCGAACTGGACACGCTCCAGATGGGCAACCTCAATGTCCTCCAGCGTGACCACCAAGAAGGGCGGCTCGGTGAGCTGGATGAGACACTCGGTTGTGGGCTGGATGTAGACATTGCTGCGGAACGGGACACCGTTAAAGCCGAGCTCACGTAGGGGCATGTCGACCTCAATGTTCTCGGAACGGCCCGCCTCAGCAATCTTCTCGGCAAAGGCCTTGAAGAGTCGGTCGAGTTCGGCACGACGCCGACGCTCCTCCTGCTCCGCCTCGAACTCGTCCTCATCACCGTACCGGTACTTGCGCTTGCGGTTTCCAGTCTCGTCGAACTGGATATCGGTCGCTTCGCGGTAGAACTGCACATCCTTGGTCTTCTTCTTGTTCCCGATGAGAATGGGATCCTTGAGATGGATGTGAATGATGACGATGAGTTCGTGCTGGCAGGGCTGGAAGAACAAGTGCCGCACGTTGGAGAAGAGGATGTCGACCCTCTGCTGAGCGGCAAGAGGCGACTGATAACGGATACCGTTTTGGTGAATCTCGACCTTGCCGGGGACACGCTTTCCCTCCATAGCGGGGCGGATGAAGACATTGTCCAACACAGCCGGACGACGATCTGGAAGCGGGGGTCACCGCGGTCAGCCATCAACTTCGTTGCACATGATAGTCTCAGGACCCAAGGCTTACTTCGAATCTCCACCAGCTTCTCTTGCTCAACGACATCCTCCATGTCCTTCTTTTCTTGCTCCTTCTTTGCCGACTCCTTCTTCATGTTGGCGATCTGGTTGGCTATCTCGGTGTAGCGGTCACCATCCAATGACCGGAACGTCAGACTGCGCACAAAGTGTGCAGTGGCGTCCTCGAAAGGCTGGTCATCCTTCCTGCCCACACCCTGGCCGGGCGAGAGGAAGTTGATGCGGAGGAAGGACCAGTCGCCCTCGTCGCTTTTGCTGGCGTTCTTGATGGTGTGGATGTGGAAGGGCACCGGCCGACCCATAACTGGCACGATGACGGTGGCGTTCTTCTGGTCCACGACGATTCCGAGGTCGCGGATCTTAGGGGGGAGCTGGTTGTCCCTCTTGTACGACTCGAAGCGCTTGAACTTCTTCACCTCGGTTCCGTCCTGGTCATTTGTTGACTCGGCGAACCTGGCCAGGCCCTCCTTCTGTTTTTTGGTGGCCAACTCCTTCTGGTGGTCGCGTCTCCGCTTCTCGGCATCCTCGTCCACTTGCGTGCTACGTTCGGAGCGGAGCCGGGTGCTCGTGATATTCTTGGTCGCGACCGCACCCACACGCGCCTCCTTCTTCTCCTTCTTGGGTGCCGGCTGCGCCTCCTCGTCCTTGAAGAAGAAAGAGCTGGCGTCTGCATCAGTCGGGGCGTCGCCTGTAAAGACGACGGGCTCGGCAGCGGTGACGCGCACTGTGTCGATGATCACCAGCGAGTAAATTTTGCTATTTTTGTCCTGCGGCGTCGGGTTCTCGATGTCGGAGAAGCCAGAGGTGATGCAAAGCGTCATGCCATCCTTGAGAGAGCGCGAGTTCTTTGCGTTCAGAATCATGGTCGGGTCGCGATGCTCGAGGCCGATTCCACAGCCGATATTCTTGAGGAAGTGCTTCTCGAGCTCGGGCTTCTTGCTCTTGATGTAAGCGAGGGCTTTTTGGTAGACCTCCTTGACGACAGCGCCATCGCGGACCTCCTTGAGAATCAGCTGGTGTGTGGCGTGTAGGAGCTTGTAGTTGGACTCTTGCGACTTGTTCGGGTCGACCAAAAAGGTTCGTGCGATGGACGAGCAGTATGACCTGTACCGCAGGCCCAAGGCAGAAATGATGATGCCCGGGTGGAGATTGTCGTTGTTCGGCTCCGTCGCCCACCTAAGATCATATTTGCCACCGCTCTGCACATTGGGCCCCAGAATCCAGTCGAGCTGCTCCGGGTCAAAGTCGCCCGGCAGTTTCTGCTTGTTAGCCAAGGTCACCGACTTCCACCATTTGTCGTCGTCGAGCTTCTTCTCCACCTTCTCGGCCAAGGAGCTGTGCTTGACTTTCTTCTCCTGGTCGAGGATGGCTGACATCTCGTCGAGGAAGAACGGATGCATCAGGGCAACGCACGCCTTGGAAGATGTGCGCATCGCCCTGAGCTCCGCCTCATCCTTGGTCGCAAAGGCGGCAGCAGAAAGTGCTTGGGCGATATCGGACTCCTCGACATCCTTGCAGTTCTCGGCAAAAATCTTCTTCCACTCATCGACAAACGGACCTTTTGCCGTGTCCTTGGTCAGAACGCCGATCTTGTTCTGCGAGTTCCGGAAGACCCGAGTGGTTAGCTAGGCAGCCCCGCGCGTGCATTGAAAAGATGACTCCAGGTTGTGACTCACGCCAGCCTCCTTTATTGCGTCGGTGATCTTGGCAAACGCCTTCGCGTTCTCAGCGGCATCCTTCCCCCTGGCAAGGACCTCAACGGGGAACCTGCCGCCTTTGATCTGGTCGAGGTGTTTCGCTAGAGTCAAGTCAGTATTATGGTCGGCGGAGGCTATCGTCGGAGCCTTATTGTGAGGTGCGCACCTTTCTTTGCGGTCGTGAGGATGTAGAGGGTGTCGATGGTGAAGAGCATGAGCGTGGTCGGGAATTCGTAGCCAAGCAGCCAGAACTGTACCGAATCGTAGAGTTAGCATCCCAAAAGTCGCAACAGAAGCGGTGATGGCAGACAGGTCGCAGGAACGATGCGAGGCGGGGATACTGACATGCATCGCGTTGTTCTTGTGGTACTCGGGGCTCTCCTCGACCTTGCCCATCATGATGAGGATGGACGAGACGCCTCCGAAGAGCGCGTCGCCCGATCGCTTGTCCGACTTCCAGGCATTGATGAAGTGCGAGACTCGCTCCTGGAAGAGTTTGCCGTCGATCTTGATTTCCGCCATGATTACGGTCGCGCGAGTGGTGATGCGACGGGATGGCAGACGCGACCGGCGACGGGGCGAGAAGCTGGTATATGAACAACCAGAAGCCGCCTTTGGATTTTGGCCTGGCAAAATGCTTCGAAGCAAGAACCACACTTTCGCGTCACGTCACGCGTTGCTGCGGCAGTCAAATTCGCATGGTCCGTGCGTTCTAATGGGCCGCTGGTGGGGCCTCCATCTGCACCTTGATTTCTGGTTTGTTATGGGCCTGAGGCAGAAATCTGAATTCAATGGTTCCTTCGGTACTCTTTCCAAGGTTCGTATATCAATCGTCTTTATCTCTCCGCGATTCTCTTGACATCCGGTCGCATCTCGCAAACAAACTCGACGAGTTCTCATCTCACTGCGACCACTGATGTGGGGGAAGGACGAGAGATTAAATTGTATCTGGAAAGCCCAACAACCAACAATCCCCGCAACAGGGCAACCTTCGTTGCGAGCACCGTAGGCAGAAGAGGCCAAATATAGCCACGGGGGAACCAAAAACGGATAATGCCGCAAGTATGGATTGATCAGCACTACTCCAGACCATGACATGGCAATAAGGCGCGCCAGACTCCTCCCTAGCCGGCCTCTTGGCGAGGTCCGCCGTCCTGAGTGGCCACAGATGCCGAAACTGCCCGATACCGACAACGGTCGGCGCCTTTGTGGGAATCTGCAGTCCTCCCGTCGTTTCCGCAGGGTCTTGTGTGCCATGGTGTGCCATGAATAATACATGTGCCAGACGCCTGACGGCGGCCTTGGGCCTAGAATTAATAATCATCCAGGCCTCTTTGGCGGCTGTCTTGAGTCCAGCCAAGCCCCACCAAGAATCTCACGCGAGTCGTATAACTCTGCCCATTTAAACCCATTTTTCCCTTCCCCTCCATGACTTTCCTGCCTAGCCCAAGGGATGTTGTCCAGGAAGAGCCGACCGAACTGTTCCGCCCGTCCATACCCAGAGCCTTGTTCATCGACTGGCAAGCCTCGTTCTTCGACTGACAGTTGAACTCGTCCGGTCACGAGGAATTGCGTGCGTGTGGTGACGGAATCGACTCTGGAGCAACAACCGACACCAACCGAGGCCTCTGATTCGACGGCAGGAGTGCGCCGCCCGTAATCCAACGAGAACAACGTGGGCGCAAAACGTGGACACGAAGCGTGGGAGATCGTGGGGTTGACAGCCTGTCGGTGGTTATTGTGAATTATCCCGCTTGACACCTCCCCGATCCGGAAAACAGTGCTACTGGCGGGGTGAGCGAACCAGACTGGGGGCTGACTGTACCTACTACATATACATAGCTCAGCTTGTCGAACAAAGCCACCCTGAAACTGAGATCCGGGCTGTAAACCACGCAGGCCCAGTGTCCGAGTCTTGGGGTTTTTGAGAATAAATCACTTCTCGGCGTCAAGCCCGGTCGTTTTTTACTTCCATCCGAAGCGCAACAGCCGAGTCTCCCGGACTGAGCAGTAAACCGGCATATTCGCTCATTGGCCTGGGTATACGGTCTCGCGCGAACGCCCTCAGTAGCGGGCTGGCACTAACGCCTATCAGCAGCGACCGGCAAAGCTCCGAGCTGCTCCGAGAGGCTGCTTCGCGTTACACAAAAACCGGCGGCTGCAGCCAAGGTCGTCCGTCGATCGGATCATCCTAGCTATGGGTCTCCTGTTAGTCGTCTCCAAGTTGTTTTTGAAAGGGGCTCTCGGCGACTACTTCTTCCGCTCTGCTCAACAATGATGCCTTGGACTAATCACATGACAAAAGCGCTCTCGGGACGGCCCTGGAGTGGCCAGAGGCCAAGAAAAACGCCCACCAAGTGCGCGAATGGGGTATCAAGGTGCTTTCCCCGCTGCCAATCCGTCCTTGACGGGCCATGAATGACCACTCACTAACCATTCAAGCGCAGCAACTCCTGGAGATATGGAACAAGGCAAAGCATAAGGAGAAGGACGCTTTGCTCTGGGGAGACGAGGTTTGCAAACCCTTTTGCCGTTCCCTTTCACCTCTCCCAGAAGCTGATCTTTTGTTCAAGGTCGAATACCTGGTTGTGGTTTACTCCAAGGACGAGCCGGGCGTCAAGTTATCTCTGAGACAGGCCGAAATCCTAGAGGCTTTGGCTACTGATTCCAGCCTCGCGGCTCAGGGAGGATGCGTTCCCGCGCTTCAGGAGACAAGCTGTACCGAGTCAGTCATCTCATGGGCGACGTCTGCCAGACGAAGGTCTTGCCCTGTGACCGACATTAGCTGACCCGCCATGGCCAAAGTGACCAACCGTTGCCTGTCTTCCATCCCGAGTTTGGCCGCTTTATGCTCGAGGCCACTCCCGGGAAGCCATGGGGTATTGGTTTCAAGGAGTTGCTAAATGTCGAACCCGACATGAGGCGCAGGTGAGCAACATTCTTCAACGGCCTGCTTCAACTTGGACATAGCTGCTCACTCGCAACCAACGCGCTGGTAAAGGCGTGTTCTCGCCAAGGAGCACATGCGCCCAGACGAATACCCCATCACGTTGACTACTTTTCCGCTGCTCGGCAGCCCGGGAGGCTTCCTTGACCCCTACTACCCGCCCTCTGGCCCTAAACTGCGATCGCAGTTTGTCCCCGATGAGATAGCAAACCCGCATATCCGCTTCCCAACACTAGCAGCCAATATCAGATCCCGTCGCGGCCGCAAGGTGCAGGTCAACGTGCCCGTTTTCCGCGACGAGAAGACGCCCTGGCCCTGGCGAGACCCCACCGTCAACCGCGACCTACACAACTGGCCCGAGGACGAGGATGTGCGCTCGGGCGGCGCCGCCCCGGACAACTTCATCCACATGGATGCCATGGCCTTCGGTATGGGCAGCTGCTGCCTCCAGATAACCTTCCAGGCCAAGAACATCACGGAGGGTCGGACAATGTACGACCAGCTGAGCCCGCTGTGCCCTATCCTTCTCGCCTTGACCGCGGCCACCCCGATCTACAAGGGCTTCCTTGCCGACACGGATGCGAGGTGGAACCAGATCAGCCGTGCCGTCGACGACCGAACCAAGGAGGAGATGGGAGAAGAGGTATGCCTGTTTCGTAACCATCAAATATCACAGTACCATGCAGCTGACAGTCTCCCCTTTCCCGGTGCTGGCAGCCCCTGAAGAACGACAGGTGGAGGATACCAAAGTCGCGGTACGCGTCCAACTCGACGTACATCTCGACGGACCCGCGGATGCGGCCCGAGTATATGGACCCCGACCTGGTGGTGGACGAGGACATCAAGGCGCAGCTCGTGGCGGGCGGCATGGACGATCGGCTGGCGACGCACTTTGCGCACCTCTTCATCCGGGACCCGATCGTCATCTTCGCCGAGGACCTGCTCGAGCTGGACTTGAGCAAGACGGACCACTTTGAGAACATCCAGTCGACCAACTGGCAGCACATGCGCTTCAAGCCCCCGCCGGCCGACAACAGCATCGGCTGGCGCGTCGAGTTCCGGCCCATGGAGATCCAGATGACCGACTTTGAGAACGCGGCGTTTGCCGTCTTCATCGTGCTCGTCACGCGCGCCGTGCTCTCCTTCAACCTCAACTTCTACATGCCCATCGCCCGCGTCGACGAGAACATGGAGACGGCGCACGCGCGGGACGCGGTGCTGGAGCGCAAGTTCCACTTCCGCAAGGACCCCTTTCCGACCCGGGCCCCGGCCCCGCCCCGCGGCGGCGGCAGCGGCAGCGGCACCGCCGCCTCTTCAGGCACGGCGACGCCGCAGCACCCCTTCAGCCGCTCGCCGACGCCGACGGGCCCGGTCGAGGACGAGCACCGGCCCATGACCATCGACGAGATCATCAACGGCACGCCGCCGTCCTCTCACGACGGCGGCGACGACGACGAGTCCCCGCCCTTCCCGGGACTCATCCCCATCGTCGAGAGCTACCTGGACTCGGTCAACGTCGACGTCGACACGCGCTGCCGCCTGGCCACGTACCTGGACCTGATCCGCCGCCGCGCTTCGGGCGAGCTCTCGACGGCGGCGCGCTGGATCCGCGACTTCGTGGCCGCCCACCCCAGCTACGCCCGCGACAGCGTCGTGCCGCCCGACATCGCCCACGACCTCGTCGCCGCCGTCGTCGAGGTCGGCGAGCGCGAGTGCGCAGGCCGCGGCCTCGCCGGCCTCGCCGGGGTGGCGCCGGGCCTCGACAAGCTGCTCGGCTCCGTCCGGTGCGGCCCCGAGCGTCGCTGACCGGGCGTTGACTAGCGCTGGCTTACTTCCGTCTTTTGGTGGTGGACTCCCTTGCCATGTGACTAGTTTTGATACTTTGTTGGATTGGGGTGTCTGCCTCCCCAGCACGGCGGCCGCGAATCACGGAATGTATGGTATTGCTCACAGGAGAGGCACTCTGGTCATTTGCGCTTTGCTGTTTACGAGCCTTCACTTCCGATTTGCAAGCTTGCGAAACCATGGTTCGGTATGCAGGCCACAGTTGGCGCACAACATATTTGTGTGTTTCAAGAGAGTCATGTCGATGGCGATTAGACATTTCATTTTTATAGAATCTCACTTTTTTGTCCCAAGACAGGTTCCCCCATGTTTTTGTGAACCAGGCCCCTACGAGCTACAGAGTCTTGTCCTCATACTGCTCTCCGGCTACCTCACCTGCCACCCGACACGTACTCCCAGCACACAGTATGGCACAGATTCACAAAGCCCAGACACCAACCCCAACAATCCAAAGGAGACTGACTCCGGCCGAGCCCCTTTTCAGCGCACACGCTAGTTGACGCCATAAACCCAGATGCCGAAAAAACAAACCTCTATGGACCATGTTGCCGCTCCCACCACACACGGGCGCACGCCCGTGAGCTCGAGTCAAACCAACATCCACTCTCCCTATACGCTCTCCCAAGACCGGCGTCCCCGGTGCGGAACCGATAATGCGTCCGGAATAGCCCGTCTGTCGTCTGATGAGACTTGCACATGCGCATAGAAAGCCAATCTTGGAATCTTGGGGAGGATCAATGGGGCATGTGTCAAGGACTGAAGACGAGATGCCCTTTTTTTTTGGGAGACCTCGGGAAGCCGCGTCAGCTGGGAAGCCGGCCGAAAGGACCCTCCCTCTCCCCAGCTGGTCGATCCAGGCCCTCAACCCGGCCACATACAAACCCGATTTGATACCTCACATGCGCACGCCAGCGACAAATGTAGCTCTAGGCCATATTCCCTGCTGCCTCTCGATCAATTATTCCCCAAACGGGATGGTGTATATGGGGCGACCGCCCTTCCAGCGCTCTCCTTTACAGCGCAGTCGGACACATGGGCGAGACTAACCGTGCGCGCTGGATCGTGATTTGGAACCGCCTCGCATTCGCATGATAACGTCCCCCCTCCCCCTTCTGGAGGATTCTCCGTGTTGCTTGTCGTATGACCTCTCCGCAGGCCAGCGAGCAGCCCGGCGGAGATGTGATACTCGGCCCAGCGTCAAGGCGGGCGTCGGGGGTGCGAGGCCGGGATGTGCCCTGCTCCTCGATACCCTATATTGTTGGTTGCGTATATAAGTGTCTTGTTATAACATGGCGGTGGCTGAGGCCGCGGTCTTTCTTGACTAGTTTTTGATCTACTAATCGCTGCGTAAGCTCTCTCTCTCCCCACATCGCTATTGTACTATGCCGCATACTACAGTATGCTGCTTGCTCGGTGAGCATTTTTCCGCGTCGCCAACGGCCGCCCCATGGTTATCATCCCACCCCAACCCACTCCTTTACTCCATCTTTGCTCCATTTAATCTCGGCAGATGATGCCTATCGGTGGACGAGGAGAGCCTTTCTTTTGCTGATCGTTCCAGAACGGTTTGCCAACATGCGAAACGCAGACAGATGGGGCGGGCATATGGGGTGGGATCCTCTCCCAGGGAGACATATAGTCGGCATCGAAATGCTATATCGGTGATACTGAGGGGAGGGGGGAGTAACTATAGCGTCGTGTGTGGGCCAGAATAACTATGCTGTCGGGTGGGGAGATTGTAGGACAGCATCGTCAAATGTCAAAGCACACACAAGAAAGAAAGAAAGATGGCTGTCCGGTGGAGCCGAGCCGAGAAGGAGCTCAATGCTGGTCCGCCTCGGCTCGCATCTCACCTCCATCGTGGGATGCCGACGGGCAATATCCACACTGGTCCGGAGCAAAGGGAGCGCCGGGAACGCCACCCACCTCGTCGCCACTACTGCAGAGGGAGAGAAGATGCGGAGCGGCGGAGAACGAGGAGGTAGCCAGAAGAGGAAGGAGCAGGCAAAGGCAGAAGGGTAGAAAGGCAAATAAAAAAAACCAAGGCTGCTAAGATCTAACGATCAAGATTGCCCTGGCACGAGCCCCTTCATCTCAACTCCGCCAAGAGACACAAGACATCTCGGTCAGCTTATCCTTTTGATCACATATCATCTTTAGCAACGGCGAACCAGCAGGATGTTTGTCCCGCATCTCATGTCTCGATCTCCTCACCGAGGGTCTCGTAGGGCGGGGCAAGAGCTCAGCAAAAAGAAAAAAGAAAAAACAGTGTCAAAATACCAGAGTTTCGATCCACAACTACCCAGGCCCCCCCAGGACAAGCTCCCCCGACGGGCTCGCAATGGGGATCGCAGCATCGTCAACTCCGATTCCCCACAGGGATGCGGACCGGGTGGGAAGGAAACCTTGACGGCCTAAGCGAGGCCGCGGGCGGACGCGGTTCAGGCTGAGAAAACAAGGGCAGGGGGCGAACAAAACAAATCGCAGGGACCGTCGTTTCAAAAAAAAAAAAAAAGGGACAAGAAAAAAAGAAAACGCTTGGAGCAGCCGACTGGCTAGCCTTACGGAGATTGCTCTGGGGGGCCGGGCGGGCGTCGCGATAATTGCGAACAGCAGAGGCTGGGAGAGGAGACTTGTGCCGAGAGAGATATAGCGTTTTCCCACAAGAGAGAGGTAGACAAAAAGTCGGCGCACTTTTTTTTNTTTTTTTTTTTTTTTTGGCCATGACTTATCAGCCCCACGACAGCACGGCCAGCAAGACAAACGGCATTGAACATTAAATTTCAACCTGCCGGCATGGCCGATCGGCGCAAACGCCCGAAAGAGGGAAGTCGCTCCCGTCGTAGCCGCCCGCGCGCCGCGCCCCCGGGCAACGGCCTTTCCATTTTAGAACAATTCCAAATCGTCCTAATCTAGTACCGGTAGGTAGGACAAGGTCAAAGACGGAAGTTTGACCAACAATGACAGAGGAAAAAAA